TAAATACAAGCAAGAAGTTTAACCACTAGAGGGCAGCAGTAACATGTTCTGCACGTCCCACTCTCTGGGTGTCAGTTCACCCCCCCCCCCCCAAAAAAAACCAACCTTTAAACCGTAAACTAAAAACACATTACGTAACGATGAACTAATGAGTCTGATACTTTGGGGGAAATCGAGGCGCAGTCACGTCGCCCCACCTCCCATTTAAGGCAGGCGCGCTCCCGTGCGTGAGGCAAACTGTCACTACAGAGTATTTAGGAAACCTCCTTCCTGTGTGCTGAACCACAAGCTGCAGAGCCACCATGCAACTCCGTGCAAAGCAAACTCTTCTCAGTCTCCTGTCAGTGCTGAGTGTCTGTGCTGCTGCTGCGGACCCACACGGTGAGTGAACCACCAGAAACTAACTGAGACCAACTGTGAAAACAAGTCAGAAGCTGTGTTAACCAGGAGAACTTGAGCTCAGTTAGACTCGTTGCAATCAGGCGTCACATTACACCCACTGACAGCCTCTGTGTTCAAAACTCAAACTAATGTCCTATGCACAATGGCAGTTTCAATCATTTACGATGAACCTGTTTTATTATGCTGGCTTCAAATTACAGGTTCAGTGTGTAAGATTTCGGTGAAAGGGATCTATTGGCACAAATTGAATATATAAAAATGATGTTTTCACTAGTGTGTTTCATCGAAATTGTTGTATTCTTTACGCTAGAACAGTCCTTTTATATTTAAATAATTTATATTTACATCCAGGGGGTCCTCTTTATGGAGGCCACCATGTTTTTAACACTAGTCCAGACTGGACAAACTAAACACTTTTTGAGTTTTTATGACAACTGAAGTCTACCACAGGTTCTCTGTCATGTTTTGAAGGGGAGGGTGAGGTGAGGTTTTCAGCTGCAACATGCAATTTCACCACTAGATGTCACTAAATTCACAACACTGTAGAAGTTCCCCTTCAATTTAGGGCTAAAGATTAGAGGCAAAACACAGGCAAACTTCGATGATGATGATTATTATTGTGATGTTTTGTCATTGTGATGCTGCTGGCCTATAAATATGTATGAGAAAACTAATTTCTTTGCATGGTGGTCTATCATAACACATTAACTGATTACTTTTAGATCTGATTACACTGCTAATCTGAATAACTGGTTCTCTGTGCAGTTTGAATATGTCTGTCATAGCACTTCACATTTTATTGTGCCCTTATACCTACTGGTGATACTGTGCGTTCAAAGGTGAAAATCATGTCACACACACCCCTCACACACAGAGACACTTAAATATGAGCACAGACCTTGCCTGTGAAATCCTTCCTGTAGAAAGCTTCAATAAAACTCACATTAAGAAACATCCTTCAACCTGTTTATTGACAAATTTCCACCACAATACTCAACACGCAATTCAGTTAAAGGTTCAGTGTGTAGAATTTTGTGATATCTCTAGTGGTGAAATTGCATGTTGCAGCTGAACACCCCTCACCTCACCCTCTCTTTCTAAACATGAAAAATAACCTATGGTAGACAGTTTTCATAAAAACTCAAAAGGTGTTTAGTTTGTCCAGTCTGGACTAATGTAAAAACATTGGCGGCCTCCGTAGAGAGGACCCCCTCAATGTAGATATAAAGTCTTTAAATATAAAGGGTCTTTTCTGTTGTAAAGGAAACTACAATTAATACAATTTAGATGAAACCAACTAGTGAAAACATCATGAGGATTATTCTACATTTAATTTCTGCCAATAGTTCCCTTTCACCTAAATCTTACACAATGGACCTTTAAACACCTTCATTTGAGATAACAAATGTCTGTTGCACAACAGCATTCAATGTGTTAAAGTTGAAGTGGGGTGTAGCTCCAATCCCGAACTCAACAGCATAAAACTGGTGTGAATGGGTGGGATGTCAATCAATGCAAGAGTAATGTGTGTATATATATACAGTATATATAAACTTTAGTAATAGAGGAATGACTAACAACATGTAACAACTATGTATTATATTTATTGCTATCATTCAGTAACTTTTTATTAGGAATTATTTGTCAGTCTTTTATTTGATTTCTGTAATTTACATACAATTCCACTTCCAAATAGTGAAACTGTAAACATGAAGGAAACTGTCCCTAAGTCCAAGATGAACTCTTCAAAGTGCTTGTTCGATCAATATTCCAGAACCAGTTAATGGTTGGCAGATTTCCTTGATTGATGACTAAAACAATTCAAAATGTACAACTGATCAAATAGATAATAGTAATAATATTTTAGTGCTTTTAACAGAACTCAAAGACACTTTAGATGGGTAAAAAACAGAGCATGCATAAATGCCTATAAATTAATATAATATAAGTAACACTCAATAATCACTCATTATTAAATATATGACGTACATCCCAATCAAGCTTTGAAACAGAAAGTTACTGTATTAACTATTATTTGTGTTATAAAAAGCTGAACACAAATCAAATATTAATATTTGTAGACCTTATATTTGTTACATATCTAATTTCATAGTTTTTCTCGTGAAGTGTCACATTCTGATTCTCACTCAGTCCTTTCAATATCCTGACAGCACCTGAAGTTCACACGAAGCTGGGCAGCCTGAGAGGTGAGTATGTGAGTGTAAAGGGGAAGGAGCCCGGGGTCCACGCCTTCCTGGGTGTCCCGTTTGCCAAGCCACCGACAGGCCCTGCTCTGAGACTGGCTGCACCCCAGCCTGTGGAGGGATGGGAGGGAACGAGAGACGCTACCAAGCAGCCTGACCTGTAAGGCATCCATGTGCTCCAGCTGTTGCATGTCACAATGGGGGGGGGTCATGTCAAATACTTGATGAAATACTTTTCCTTTTCAGTTGTGTTCAGAATAAACAGATGCTTTTAGATCTGATAGCTAAAGTCGACATCGAGATGGCACATGTTCCAGACATGTCAGAAGACTGCCTCTACCTCAACATCTACACCCCTGCAAACAGAGCTCAAGATGCCAAGCTCCCGGTAAGAAGTCCTTGTTGCAGGTTTGGAGCGACGCTGCTCAGTAAGGCTGCCAGGTGTGAACACAGATATCTGAGTGAGTTCCTCTGGATTATCTGCTGACTTTCTCTGCCTGTCCCCCAAGTATAAAGTCTGCAGAAAGTCCAGAGGAGCCGATGTGAGAACACACCAGGAGATCATGCAACAGACGCGAACATTTAAAATATATCTCAGAATGAAAAAGTGGAGCCATACACGTAGAAGACAACAGCAAAGATTTCAAGAGAGTTTGTGGTGATAAGAGCCGAGTCGATGTACTGTAAACAAAATCCATTACTAAGGTTTAGCTCTGGAAAAGTTTAGTTACTGTTCCTGATGATGTCGGTTTGATTGCTTTTAAGAATTTCATCATGTCAAACATGGGTGTTTCTGTTTTTTAACAGGTCATGGTTTGGATCCATGGCGGAGGGTTTGTTTCAGGGTCAGCCTCAATTTACGATGGCTCCCCCTTGGCTGCTTACCAGGATGTGGTCGTTGTTTTGATCCAGTACCGATTGGGAGCCCTGGGCTTCCTCAGGTAAAAATAATTGGACTTACTATGCACAGTAACAATGAAAATACAAGGATTACATTCTTCTACGTTTGTCCCAACCTGTGCCACATGCGAACAAAAATTTAAAATCTGATCACTTTACCAGCCGGTAGACTATAACTACGTGTCTCTATGCAGCACTGGAGATGAGCACATGACCGGGAACTTTGGCTTGTTGGACCAGGTTGAAGCTCTGAGGTGGATCCAGCAGCACATTCACAACTTTGGCGGAGACCCAGATTCAGTAACGGTATTTGGGGAGTCTGCTGGTGGAGCGAGCGTATCACTCCTGGTAAGGATCGCTCTGCAGAGATGGGACCTCAAAGCGACACTGTGCAAGTTTTTTTAAATGTTATTTTAAAGGTCCAGTGTGTAAGATTTAGGTGAAAGGGGCTGAAGTTGAACATTATTTTATAATGGTAGGGATGTTGTCACTAGTGTGTTTCATCTAAACAGGGTCCTCTCTACGGAGGCCGCCATGTTTTCTTTACAGTAACCCAAACTGGACAAACAAAACACCTTTCGAGTTTTGATGACAACTGAATGCTGCCACAGGTTCTTTTATTTATGTCACTGCTGAGTCACTACTGTCCTCAGAAGCTGTCACTTCTTCTGTTGCTTTAACCAACAGCTCCTCTCACCATTGATCGAAGGCCTGCTCCACCGTGGCATCGCTGAGAGCGGCACTGCTGCAATGGATGTACTTCTGATAAGTGATCCTCTTCCACTGACAAAGGTGAAGCATCTATTTACATGCTTTAATGTGCAAACATTGATCAGTGCATATAATTGGAATCATACATTGCTGAGACGGATCCCTTGTATCTTTCCTCAGATGGCAGCAAATGTATCTGGCTGTAGCCTTGAAAGCACAGAGGAGATCAGCCGCTGCATGAAAAACCTTGACTTTGATACTGTTGTGACTCTTGCAAAGGTGAGATATTCTATAAACAGCTGATGTGATTAATTGACCATGTGCCTACGTCCTCTGTAAGATTCCTGTGATATATTAACTTTGTTTTTTATTTTCATTCTCTCAAGGATGAAACCTTAAGATATTTAGTAAACGTTGATGGACACTTTCTGACAAAAACCGTGGATGAGATTTTCCAGAAACACGAACTTCACACTGTGCCTTTTATGACTGGTGTTAATAATGATGAAGGGGGCTGGTTACTTCCTAGTGTAAGTGCTAAGTGCATGATTGTTCCTGACATATGTTGCTGATATTCCCGTTTTGCTGCTTGGTGTGTCTGAAACCTTAATTGCAGTTGCATCTTCCCTCAGTTTCTTGCTCCTCCAAACTGGACTGAGGGATTAGATCGGGAGCAGGTGGTCAACATAATTTCTTTCTTTTTAAGTGATGTAAGACAAACACTGCTACACATTACAGCATCACTCTTTTTTTATCCTGCTCAAGTTTCTCAAACAGACGTGTTTATTATTTTCTCAAGCCTAAAACTGCGATCATCAGAGATATGATGATAGATGAATACATCGGAACCGGTGAAGATCGAGTGAAGAACAGAAATGGATTATCTCAGTTGACTGGAGATATCTTGTTTACCTTTCCAGCTATCAAGGCTGCTAATGCCCACAGAGGTAATTTTCTATACTATATATATGTAAATGTATTTAATATGACATATTAAAAATAATAATAAAGTCATAATATTTCGAGAAATAAGTTTGAATTTAATCAGAAAAAACACAATATTACTCAAAATTAGGTTGTACTATTACAAGAATAAATTAATAATATTATGAGTTGGAATTTAATTAGAAAACAGCCACAGTATAACATAAAAAGGGTTGTAATATTACAAAAAGAAATTTGTTATATTACAAGAATAAAGTTGTAAATTATTGAGAGAAAAAAAGCAGCAAGGAGAACCAGTTCATGAGAAACTAATTATTTCCTCCTCCACAAAAGATGCAATTTCCTCCAAGTCATTATTCAGGATTGACACATTTTGTTGCACAATCTTTCCAATTCCTCATATTTATGATAATGTGGTGCTGATGATCCACCAGATGAAGTTTTTCATTATATCTATATTATAAGTATAACTTAACAAGCTGCTCCACATTCCACCATTTCAAACTGGAGACAGATATTCACCTTCTAAAATAACATAACCCTAAAATAAATACTTTTTTTTGATATATTACAACTTTATTCTCCAAGTCTTTTCCCCCTCTGTCGCAATTAAAGAATCATTAATTAATATTTATTGTCGCACATTTTGATAAACAAGATCTATCCCACCTATTTATCTGCCACCAGATGCAGGCGCAGCTGTTTACCTGTACGAGTACCAGCATGCTCCCAATATGCTGAAGGCAAAAAGGCCGAGCTTTGTTGGGTCTGACCATGGGGATGAAATCTTCACAGTATTAGGATTCTGTTTCACAACCACCCATGTCAAATTACATGGTAAGATCAATGTAAAACTTGCTGGCTCAATAGACCAGCAGATATGTGGTGATCTGTTGTGGTTTGTGTTTTACCAGATTATCATTGTTTCAGATGAATGCCTAAAAGAGGAGGAAGAGCTCAGCAGAATCATGATGAGCTACTGGGGCAACTTTGCTCGCACAGGGTAGGTATGACCTCTAATCATATACATATACATGAGACAAACTTATCTATAACCCATATATGTGCATGCATGCTTTTGTAGTTCTCCTAATGGGAACGGCCTTGTCCACTGGCCTAAGTATGGAGCAGAAGAAGACTACCTGTCAATTGCACTGACGGAGCAGACGCCTGCTCGGCAGCTGAAGAAGGAGCGCTTTGTCTTCGTGACTCAGACCATCCCAGAGAGCGTCCGACAACATATAGAGAAGATGGAGCGCAGCGAGCTGTAGAGGAGTCTGCTCTCCTTTCACCATTCCATCTCTTTTTTAATCATTAACCACTAACAAGTATGTTAGATATTCTGTGAGACATTTGTGAAACTTAAGGGGGAAATAAAAATTCTAACATTTGTTGTACTTACTGTAACCTTTAGGATGTATCATACATTGTGTATTATTAAATTAAATGGTCTCAAAGTTTTGAAATTCAATCAAACTCAGCAGTAACTAGTTACAAGTTAACGTTGTTTAAATATATATACAGTATATCCTGCTTATATTGATCATCAGTTTTAAACTTGTGATGTATTAGTGATCTACCAATATTAAAATATGGACTTATAGTATTTTAAGGCTGTTTGTACTGGAGGACGCACACTCTGGTCATTTGTGTGAGGGTTAACATGGGTTAAGTACAAAAACAGAGGGAGCACGTACCACCAAGATTAACGCCCGATCTTCTGCATTAACACAGAAATGAAAACTTAACATTTTTGGTGGTTTTCATATATCAGTGGGCTTGTGTATTGTAGGTGTCTTTGAGATTCAGCCATATGTCATCTATACTGCTTATCCTTAAAGGAATTTAGGGGGCTGGAGCTAATCCCAGCTGACATTGGTCATAGGTGTCGTACGCCCAGGAGAGGTCGCCAGTGTATTTGCAGGGCGAACACACAGAGATAACCTAACCCCAACCCGCTGTCTTTGGACTGTTGGGGGAAGCCTGTGGAAACACACAGGGATAACATGCAAAATCCACACAGAAGACTATGAGATAAATATCAAAATTCAACAGTTGCACTGGAGATAAACATTGTAGGGGATAGTTGAGAATGGTTTTCTTGTTTTACAGCGATATGATACACATACAGTACAAACCATCAGTTTTTTTGTTTTTTTATTACTGAGAAGAGCGCTTAAGCTGGAAAGCTCCCTGAAGTCTGATGTGAGCAGTTCAATAGGTCAATCTTATGTTTGTTTTTCACTAAATCAGGCGTATGGCATTGAAAATAGTACAAAGCAACACTTTTCAAAGGCAAATCACTCAAGTAGCTGGTTGCAGAGGGCTTACAGACACGGAAATGTATTCAAAATAAGTACTTCAGTTCAGAGGAAATCAATAAAATGTGACAAAATTATTATGTAAACTTTTTTCTTTTGCAAATTTAGTAAAGTTGCAGTCTGATATAAAAGTGCTGGCCAGTGGTTTTGAATGATTCACAATTTTGCCCAGAAAAGTGCACTTGGAATAAGAAAGCTACTGGGCATTACTTTCAGGCCATAATGAGACACACCGACACTTGGTACTTGGTACTTTGAGTTGCACTTTGAGCCGTTAGTCTGGGTAATGTTCAGCAAGCTTGGTCTCAAGTTTGAAATACGTTGGAAGGGAGGAGGGAATATCTTTGCAGGCATAAAGCCAGGCAAACAACACGTCAGCCAATTAAAACAAACCACAACTTAAATACATTTCAAAAAGGCAAAATATGTTTCTGTTTCAGACCACGATTATATAACCACGTGAACTGTATAATTTAGAAAGTAATTCAATTCACAGTATATTAATAAGTTATATTGTTGTATTGCAGTTCAGTTTTCAGACCTACATAATATCTTGTCAGGTGTGGTGACATTAATACTATGTTTGATGTGGGAACATGACCCGGAGCATATCGCTGAAAAAGATATTGTTAAAGTACAAAGGACGAAAACATATCAGCCTGTCCAAAACTGGCTGCTGAAGCTAAAGTGTTCGATAAGACAGCACGTCCTTTCCAGTCAATGGTAGGAAAATTACCCAGTTGTAAAGTTCCTCAGTCTTTCTACTGGACGAATGAAAACAAAGAAGGTAACTTAATACATTAGAATACACATGTTTTTAACTGACTTGTGGCAAAAACACCTGAGATGCTTTTTTTTTCTAAATTCAGATGTTTTGAACGCAAAACAAACAAGGCATGCTGCTCCACAAATGTAAAACATCATGTTCAGGTAATGTTTATGAGTGTGGTATGATTAGATCTAAAACAAATGCAGCATGCAGGTCAATATGATGGGCACTGAAAGTATACGACTATATATATATATATCGATATATATATATCGATATTTATATATGTAGATAAGAATACATTGGACACCTTTATCCTCTTCAAGCACTACTAAGTACAGACATGGTTTTAGAGGCACGTACAGTTTGAGCCATAATATGTGGTGAGAATTTTTCTTTTTCTCCTGCAGGGAATAAATAAATAAATTAAAAACCTGTGACCTGTTTTCATGCTGCACCGGAGGATTAAGGTCACACAAAAGTGAGGTGTTGACGTCGCCATGAGAGATCTTTCAAAGTTCTCGTATGGGAACAGAAACGTGGTGTGCTAGGTCAGGGTGATATAACTAGCTTCATTAGACAGTAAAACACTATTTTGTGAAACACAGACAATATCCTGGAGAGTTAAGGGCATGAGCTAACGTGGTAGTAATATTGTCAGCAGAGGTGATTTGTGTGCAACACTTGTTGTTAATGCATTGTGTTGTGGGAGGAGAGTAAAGCTTGGTGCATCAGGATGTCCAGGACTGCATGTTGTGCAGCATGGCCTCAAATCGCTCCATGTCCGGGGCATGAGCGTGGGCCAGACGGTCCGTCAGGCGACTGTACAGACTGAAAGACTTCAGCTCCAGCCAGATGAAACCGAAGCGGTCCTCATCAAACAGCACAAAGAGCCCCGGTGTGCGCTCTGGGCTCGTAAAGCCGTGCCCTGCGATCAGGCCTGTCCCATAGAAGCTGAAATGGAGGAACATCAATTAATACATATTTTGATGGATATCCATTCGGTTCTAGACTCTGCTCTAACATACCTAGTAAAGAAGAAAAAAAAGGATAATGGTAATGATATTTTTACTTTAACTTATAACAACTATTTTAAATAATGATAATTAAATAATGATAAGACAACAGTTCTCACATCAGCTGTTCAGCCAACATTCTTCACACCTACTAACGATCATTCATAAGATATGATTACAACCTGTTGGCAATGAACTTTCAACAATGAAGCAATTTACAACAGCTCAGGAGCAATGGACACACTGTGTCTGACCCAATACAAACTGTCAACTGAGGATTTAACACTTTGTTCATGTGCTTTCGAGTTCTTACCATTTTCTGCAGGTACGAGGGTACACCTCGTTGCGAGCCATCACACCCAGGGGCAGGACAAAAGGCTGATCTTCTAGAGGACTGGTGCTGCTGCTGGGGCCAGGCTGGCAGCTGTCTGAACAGGCACCATGGTCGACCTCAATCCCTTCCGCGGCACTGGCACCGCCACAGGCCCCCTCTGCCGCTGCACCACTGACCGTGGGAGAGATGTCCTTAGCCTGTTGTTCTGTTTCCCTCTGCACCTCCTCGTGTACCCCCATTACAAGATGAGACAGTTTCTCTATTTTGCGCTGGTTCTCCAGGTCTGGGAGGACAACGGGCCGGCTCAGGTCAACGTCTAACGTGAGCTGCCCTGCAGGAACGTTGGGGTCTCCCTGCAGGAAGGAGGGTAATTACAGTTTGCACCACTACAAGATGACTGTGATGGATTTATGCTGTTATCCTCTGGTTCAAGAATGTGAAAACATTCTCTTCAAAGGCATAAAAATCATACATCAGGAATTTTAGTAGCCAGAGGAGGACCCATACCACATTAACAGGATTTTAAATGATTAACAGGAAACCTGTGATTATCAGCAGGGTCAACATGCATGCCAGTCCTTTCCATTAGTTACTTCACCATGAGGAGAGATTGTTTTTGAGAAAGCCGATCATGATTATTCACTAACTTACAGTGAGTTTGGTGGCTCTTGCAGAAGTCCCATGGAAACTGAGCATGACAATCTCCAAGCCGTGACTGCCATAGGTACCTTTGAAGAGGCCTGGCTGCAGCAGGTCGGAGGGCTTTTCTGGAGGAAGGTAGATCCTCCGGTACGTCAAGCAGTTACTGTCAGGAGAAAGCATGTGAATGCCAGAGCTTTACCCGAGCCTCTGTCTACACTGTCAGGTTACACATTCATCCACAAGAGAATTCTGAACAATCTATACAGATAAGAAGCTTCCCTTGTCATTAATGTTAAACCCCCAAGAGCTACTGAGTAAACAAAGAGAGTAAGTGTGATGTAAGAAAAACTCTTGTACTCGTATTGACTTGTATAAATGAACTTCATCAGGATAAGCTCCTGCATGTGTTCATGGAAGATTTCTTCCAACGTCCGGCCCCATTCTTCCTCCAACCATGTCCTGAACTCCTACACACACACACACATACACACACAGAGACATGCACAAACGCTTGAAACATTGTTTGAAATTCAAGAATGATACCTGAATAATTGTACAAAGGTTATCTCAGGGAGTCACAGATCCCTGGTTTGACCCACCTCCTGTCTGCCTCCTGGCATGCGGTGATGATCCGTCTGGTTACATTTCGTTGAAAATTCATCCTTCTTGACTGTCTGAAAATAACAGAATATGACACACATTGGAGGACGGCCTTTTTTTTTAAGCTCCTGACCTCAAATTACAGGAGAAATATCTTTTGATTTTTGATTTTCTTTGGTGCTTCTTGTGCTGCACAACCCCTCACCTGTATGTCCCCTTTGTGGGGACCCTTGTGTCCGTACATACACTCCACTGTGGCCTTATTGCTTTCCCACTTGTGGACACGGAACAGTGGCCGTCTTCTCATGGGATCCTCCACGCGAGGGTCATGAGGTGGCAAATACATCCAGCCAATGATTGACAGCCCATCCACCTGAATGAAAAGAACTTTTTATTAATTTATCAGCCATTGAAATTAGGTTTCCTGCCAAAATAAAAGCAGTTGACTTTTTCTTTTTTAATGTCAAATGTTCCTCATCTTAAACATGCAATACGTAACTCGGCTGTTAAGGGCCTCTCATTTGAAACAATAACAAAAGAGTCGTTTGATGGTCTCTTGAAGCAGTGTGGGATCATGGGAGTCTTCACCAACTTCACCGATTAAAATCAACCTGACTTGCAAATCATGTTCACAGACAAGTAAAAAAGTTGTATTCATGTGACACAGCAACGGCAATGAATAACCATGATCCTTTGAGAGTGACCAACACAAACATTGGAATGAAGTGGCTAACTGGCTTTCAGTGTATTTCCTTGGTCATATGTTGTTTATGAAAGTTATAGCAGAGACAGGCAAAGTAAAATTAAACCTGGGGATTTGTCTTGATCTTGGCTAATGTGAGTACAGTCAACCAAATATATAACACAGGTCTTGTTATTTTAGAAATTTTAATGAAGAATTGTAACATATCTTTAATGCAAATATCTGGATTGAGTAACACAACATACCACAACATTGAGCAATCCACCATAAGGGCCGATGTCAGGCTGCCATAAGCCCAAGATGTGTCTGTAAGGGTGAAGCACTGCAACACAAAGGCCCAACATCACATTTTAATGGTCAGTTTCTCCACACTTGCACTTTACTATGTGCTATATTGTGCATGGTTAAAAACACAAGAGAAGTTAAAATCCACAGAGAGAGCTTTTTGTTAAAAGTTTGTCAGGATGGAATCAATGAGACATAAGCTGACCAGGTCCCCATCAGCCAAGTTTTGAAACCACACGTGAGGTACATTGCATCAACCAGCCTCAAACAAAACAAACACTGCAGAGGTTTATTACCAAGTTTAGTGTTCGCACAGGGTGCATTACACTGCTGCAACCGTTTGCTTGCAAGTATAATCAACACACACACACACACACACACACACACACACACACACACACACACACACACACACACACACACACACACACAACACAACACAACACAAACAAACAAACAAACACAAACCCCTCATGCTGTAGCCATCCACATTTGAGGCCAGTGTACATACAGTGTGTGTACACGTCTCTATAGTCCATCTGCTCGTAGTCCGGGAGGAGCTTCATAAAGCGCCCAGACTTCAACCTCTGGTTGACACCTGGATGAGCACAACACAGGCATGTGTAGAGCAAACCACAGACCAGGGCTTGCTCAGTCCAATGAGGCACTCTAATGAGCGTAGTCATAAAATAAAATTCTGATCTATTCAAAGAGCCACTCTACCCAAATTCAAATTCAAAAGACTTTATTGTCATTGCACAGTCGTACTTCGTACACTAGCACAATTAAATTGTGGCACAGTCCTCCTCCCCGATGCCAAACATACAATTAACAAGACACAAACCACTACACAAATTGAGATCAAAATAAGGGGATTCCAGGACTACAGGCATTTAACGAAGTGGATCTACTATACAAAAAAGAATAATTGTACCGATAATGTACCGATACATGCAGATAATATGCATATTTGGAGAAGTGCAACTGTACAGAATAAATACTATATACCGATAACGTACCGATATATCTAGATAATCTGGGTAATATACAAAGTGATTTATTGCACTGAAAATTCCCTGAAAGTGTTTATTGCACTGAAAATTCCCTGAAAGTGTTTATTGCACAGAAAGGTCAAGGATTGAAAGTTCCATAGTGTTGTACCCTAAGTGTTCTCTGGCAGCTAGTGTTAAAAAATGCTAAATAAGCTCCATATCTCAGCTGATAGACAAAACAGGAACAGATGGAGGGATAAAACATTATCAAAAAAGTGTTTTAAAAAAAGTTGTGCCATCAAGTCTGAGTGTAAGTGGGACAGAGAGCCCATATTAACATAAACAACTATTGCCAGGAATGCATCTGCAGCAAAACACTGTCAACATTAGGAGATCCATGTGGACACCTACACGCACAAGAATAATAATGACTTTATTCATCGAGCACTTTACAACACAAAATGCTGCACAACAGGAAAAAAAATGGTAAAAGGGGGAATACATACACAATAATGGTGATAATAATAAATGAAATGTGATAATGTAAAGACTGCAAATGCTGAATGCTATGATGGATTAAGAAGGAAACAAATCATTGATTGGATCAATTCATGGAAGGCATGGGAGCTGATTGTATTTAAATCAAACTCACGTTTCACATAGAGATCCCTGCTGGATACTCCTCCCACCTCCATCTTCCTCAGATCCCCCTTCATATCAAACTCTGCAGAGAGAAAAATGAACCTCACATTATAAACATATTAGGGCTATGCATGCCCCGTACAGCATTAGTGGTAATGGATGTCGTTACACAGTAAAGAAAGTGATTTAAACAGTGTAGTCAATGATTATCATATTTATCTAATTCATAATGTTAAACATTGTGTTACTCATTAACTTAAAATCCAGTCAGCAGACGCAGAAGAGATCTAATCACATGTGCTACTCAGAGATTCACAGGATTTCTTTAACACAAGGCACAAGTGAGCTAAACAGCTGTTCATTATTTGTCACTGATATAATAGGATAATCATTTTGTATGCTGCAGCATATCTTAATGTTTGCTTCTGTCATAACTTATAGAGGACAATGTGTTCCTTTCCCTCATTTCTGGGAGTACTGTCCCTTTAACTCTGATACAGGTTGTTCTGCATGCTGTCTTCACTGTAACTTCACTGCTTGCTTGCCCCTCTGCACCACTGGAAATCAGGGCTTTAGTTCACAGTGTTTTCCAAGAGTTTTATAAAGGGCTGTTTGTTTTTTATTTCACTCAGCGATAAAAAGGTTGTCTAAGTCTCTGGCATTCAGGTTGTTGTGTAACTTCTCAGCGTGGGGCATACCTCAGGGCACCACCATTATAAGCTGGAGTGAGAAAATGTTGAGTGCTTTTATTTGATAAATGAAGTGGGGTTCTATCCACTGCTCAGCAACAACATTACAACCATCCGTATAATCTTTGTGTAGGTCCCTGTCGTGCCGTCAAAACAGCTCTGACACATTGACTCCACAAGTACTGAGGGAGATCTGTGCTATCAGGCACCAGGACTTCAGCATTTGTGAGGTGAGGCCTCCATGGGTCAGACTGGTTATTTCAGGGCATCTCGCGGCTGCTTGATCTGATCCAGATCTGGGTCATTTGGAGGCAAAGTCTGCACCTTGAACTCTTTGTCGTGTTCCTCAAAGCACTCCTGAGCAAGTCTTTCAGTGTGGCAGGGCACATTGTCCTGCTGAAGGACGCCAATGCCATTAGGGAATACTGATGTCATGAAGGGGGGGTGTACTTGGTCTGTGAGAATGTCACTATCATTTCCAGCATTGAGCTTTTTTTGGCTATTTGTGCTACAGTCATCTGTGGGATCAGACAAGACAGGCCTTGGGTGCCAATTACCCTGTCACTGCTTCACTGGTTGTCCGGCCTTGGACCAAATTTGGCAGATCAGTACTAACCACTACACACCTGATGTGACCTGCTGTTTTTGCTCTGACCCAGTCCTCTGGCTGTCACAACTTGGCCTTTGTCAAAGTTGCTCAGATCCTCCGTCCATTAAGTACAAGATGGGGTGGGGGTGATCACAGTCATGGCCCTAGTCCCCCATTGGGTTGAATCCGGCTCTGCATCAACAGTCTTATCATATCACCGTCGGCCTGTCAACACTGAAAGACCTCGCTCCATTTCTGTTAAGCGCTGGCTGGGTTAATTCCCTCATGGTTCCCGTACTGATCGATAGAAGAGCTTTCAGGGGGGGGGGCATTTCCGGGGGAAACATTTGCTGACCACTGATAACCTGACGACCAATCCCATAACACATATCAGTGACTTTGTGCAGCTGTCCGGGCGATTAAAGGTTTATACGATCGCTATATTTACCTTCGATGCAGCGCCTCCTCCAGATGGTCTCCGTGTTGAGGATCTGTCTGAACGTCTTGCAGACGAGGGCCACGTTCGGCAGCGCTGTTCCGGGGAGCAGGGACAATATTTCCACGAGCAGCTCCGGCGGTAGTTCTGCTAAAGATTGCGGGTGCAGGGGTCCGGTGCTGGAGCCTCCTCTGTTGACACGACCGCTGCCATATTCGCAGGCGTCACTCGGCCCTGCAGTGGCGCCTCCGCCTCCGGAGACGTCTCCCTGCCGCTGGCCCACGATCCTCTCCCCTTCTTCCTCGTCCATGTCGGAATCGCTCCCCTGGCCCTGCTGGTTCTGCCGCTGTCGCCTCCGGCACCTTCGCGACTGCCCCACTCCGCAGAGCCTGGCGCACACAGCCATCCGTAGTTCACCAGACGGGCAACATTACATCAGACATGTCAGCTGCAGCCCGGTCTCCTCCTGCCCCCGTGAGCACAAGCGGCGGCGTGCCCTCTGACGTCACGGCGACGCGCACGTAACCAGCGTATGCACACATGCGTTTTACACACTATTCCGCACGCGTGATTCCTTCTTCTTCTTCCTCTTCTTCTTCTCCTCSTCCTRCTTCTTCTTCTTCTTCCTCTTCTTCTTCTCCTCGTCCTTGTTCTTCTTCTTCCTCTTCTTCTTCTCCCCCTCCTCCTTCTTCTTCTTCTTCTTCTTGCGGATGGTCCACACGTTGAGGCAAAAATACATGAAAGAGGATGTTGGTATTTTTAACTCCTGCAGTTTGCTACTTCAGAATCATTCCGTGTCAGTCAGTCAACACTCAGACTGTTCTGTCACTTTGTACACATGTGGACGTTGTATGAAGAACTTTAGAAATAGAATCAAAACGATCTTGACATAAAGAAAAAAAAATCGAGCTAGCCAGGAGTCGAACCTAGAATCTTCTGATCCGTAGTCAGACGCGTTATCCATTGCGCCACTAGCCCATAGTAATTGTGTGATGATAAAAGTTTTATAAAGACACTGAATAAGAAAATGACAATGACAAAATAGGACTTCACCTATAGATCTCAACTCACAGTGGTTTTAATACTCACTTCTTTCTGATGAATTGGCTAATGTGCAATGCATTCCACTGTATATATAGTGTTTATTATATTGCTTTTGTACTTCATTGCTCTTATAATGCATGTTTCCTTATTTAATACTTTTACCGATGTCTATTTTTGACACTATCACTATTATTACTGCACCACAGCAAATCTCCCCAGAAATATTGACAGATCAGACCAATTGCAAGGAAGTACGACTTCATCTGAGTTTAATAAATCATTGATGACTACAAATGAACAACGGGCATCAGGTCATGTATCATCATTAATGAATGCATACAAAGAGATTATAGTTTTTTAAGATAAATTAGATAAATTCAGTTTTCAGATCACCGGTGGTTCTCATGGGTCTGCTGCTGGATGGTCTGGATAAACAAACCAAAATCGCGTATAAGCAGCGAACATGGCAACCCAGCAAATAAATATGCCTGTATATTGTGTTTCAACCACACTGTCCGCTGCATTTACGAGTACAGCGTTTTATCAGATTATTAAGAGTTGTATTAGCAGATATATCATGGTACAGTGTGTATTATAACACAGAGAAGAAGGGGACGGGAGTGTGTAAATACTGGGATTGCGGGAGAGTTTCAGGCGAATGTGGCAACCATTGAAGCAAACCCGGAAGTGTCCGCCGGCGGGAAATTCAGTAAATATTATGAAAGCGTCAGAAAAAACGAAGCCACGGTTCAGACTCGTTCACTGAAGTAATCCAGAGTCAACAAGTGGAGGTGAACGTTTCCTTTGTGCTGTCAGTTTAACAAACAATCATGTTGTAGCAAGTTCACTGAGTGAGACAACAAGTGGGGTTTACTTTCCGTCTGTCTCAGGTCGACCATGAGGGCTGTACTTGATAGAATAGTCTCACTGGCAGATGGAGGCAGCGCCGCTGAACTTGAGAAGTATCTGTCCTCCCTCAAAGATGACCAGGTAGATGTTGTCAATTCACAGGTTTCCCGATCTCAGCAATGTACGAACCCCCCCACAGGAAACACTGACATCTCTGTGATTTGGTTTCTAGTTAATCGCAGTGATTACCAGCAGCGCATTAAAGGGGAAGATGGTCGGTGCCATAGTTAAAGGTATATTTCAAGGTAAGTGTACTTTTACATCACAGTTGAATGTATATTTCAAGGTAAGTGTACTTCTACATCACAGTTAAATGTATATTTCAAGGTAAGTGTACTTCTACATCACAGTTAAATGTATATTTCAAGGCGAGTGTACTTCTACATCACAGTTAAATGTATATTTCAATGTGAGTGTACTTCTACATCATCGCACAGGTGCAGTCAGCATGTCAGTGGTTTGACACCAATTCATGGCCTTTGGTGCACTAATTCAATCTTTCAGCAGTCTTGGGCCCTTTCACCTCTCCCACCACTGTGTGTCAAATAGTTATATCAAAAAACTACCCACATCTCTGCATGCTCTGTTTTTTAGGCTCTCCTCCCAGTTCCACTGAGGGATCAGACCGCAGACTTCTTGTTTATCAGCACTGCATCCCCCTGTGTGAGTCCGGGGACCTTCAGACTGAGGTGGCGGCTGATATCATTGGACTGCTGATGCTTGAGGTAAACAAAAATACAAAACAACAAAAGGCAAAATATATATTATACAGGAAACCAGTCCAAGTAGCCTCTCCTAATAATAATCATGGTTCCTCAGTTAAAGGACAGCAACATGTAAATAATAAAGATTAAAGTAGTTTAGATACAGCTCTACAGCTTAAATACATTAATAATATTTTAACTGCAATACCTATTTACTATATATGTGCAATACTACAAAACTGTATATTCTGTTCAAATAGTGTTCTGTTTATAATATATATATATATTTTTTGTATTTTCTTGTTTTTATATTGTATGTTTACCTGTAAATTACTTTTCCTTGTTTCTGTTTTCACTATCCCCTTTGCTGCTGTAATGTGACAAAGTTCTCCAAGATGTTTTTTCCTTTCCTTTGTAATGTCTATGAACCATATTTGTTACAAACTGGTACTTTATAATTCCAGTTTTGTCTTTTTGAATGTTACACACAGACTCATACTCTGTCTGGACCCTCTCTTGCACAACTGGCGTCTCTTTTTGTTGAAGCCATTAAGGTGGGAAAAATGGGTAGTGGGAAATCGCTGGAGCTATTTCCTACAGTGCTGACTGCCCTCGCAGCCTGTGAATCCTTATCTTTTGGCAAAGGTAAGTTTTAAATTAGCCATAGTGACTTATATATTTAGTGTATATATACTGTATATATTAGCATCTTAAGTGGTTGTGTTTTTTTAATGGTGGATATAATAAAAGACAATAAGTCTCTTGTGGTTCCTTTTAAATTTTAGGTGAACTCAGTGGGGAGGAATACAAGAAGCAGCTGATCAACAGTCTCTGCTCAAGCAGGTACATGTGTAAATGTGCACTGAGTTTTTATGGAGTTTTTGACTGTCAATGTTTTTGTCCTTTTAAACTCAAATAATTGTTTTCCTGCAGATGGGACCCACAGTGTGTTATCCACCTGACAACCATGTTCAGGTAACACCATTGACTATCAGCCCATGAAATTCTAAGATACTACAGATTTCCCTTTAGCATAATACGCGATTAGTGCAGCATCATTATCTTCTTTTGATTTCACAATGATCACAATGTTACATGAGTTATTATTGTTATCTTGTACCTCCTCTTGGGGTATACATTGCAACTAGTCAGCTGTGTTTTTGTGTCTGGCTCATTTTAGGGATGTGCCCCTGTCCTCAGAGGAGCTGCAGTTCCTGGTGGAGAAAGTCCTGCGGATGTTCACTAAACTGGATCTGCAGGAGATCCCACCACTGGTTTACCAGCTGCTGCTTCTGTCTGCAAAGGTATGCATGTATGTACAACATTGTCATTTTCCATTGTCTTTTTTGTTTTGAATATCTAAATGCCTGCCTTGTGTGTGATAGGGTTGTAAGAAACAGATCCTGGATGGAATCATTGGATATTTTAAGGAGCAAGACATTCACCAGGAAGAAGAGCAAAAACATGGAGAGTGAGTAACTTATACACTGACAGTGTATGACAAATACCCCATTTAATCTGAATCTTACATCCTAATCTCCATTTACAGAGTGTGATTGTTATTTTTCACTTTGTTCCTCAGGAGCCTGGATCTAGAGGTTTTGTCCATTCCACAGGACCAGTTACGACACGTGGAGGGCACCGCCATCCTCCACATCGTCTTTTCTATACGACTCGACCATGACCTCGGAAGAGAATTCCTCAAAAGCTTTAAGGTTATTTATGACTTTGTGTCTGAGATTATTTTAGAAAATTTTGAATAAATGTTTGTATGTGGAATATGCCAAGAAGTCTTACATTGAATTCCTGCAGATGTCATATGGCGAGCTGTGTCCTTTCAGTGCTGCACTTATGCTCTCAGTAGCACGTATCCAGCGCTATGAAGAGCAGGTGAGAATGATTGATTTTTCCTATACTTGTTTGATCCATTTTAGATTTGATCTCCTCTGTCCACTCACATTTCTTTACCCCTTCGCTGGTTTGTGTAGGTGTTTGACCTTTTGAAGGGAGCGATCATCAAGAGCTTCAAGGACGAGCAGCTGCAGCAGGGTTCAAAGTTCCTGCAGGACGTCCTGCCTGGACACTGCAGTGTGGCTCAAATGATACTGGACACAGTCAAGAACAGGTCAGAACATCAAGGCATTTATTAATCTGATTCAAACTTTCAACATATCACAAATAAGATTATAGAAAGTTTAAGAAAATCTTCTCTTCCACATGTGCAGCGTGTTTGGGTGGGATCACGTGACCCAGGGGCTGGTGCAGCTGGGGTTTTTCCTCATGGACACATTTGGACCCAAACCAGGACCATTTGGGAAGACTACAGAGGGGTCTGCTACCGTAGCGAGGACCCCAAATCAGCAAGCATGCAAGCTTGGAGGTCAGGTGCTTCTCCAAGGCTTTAAGGTAACTTTAGATTTATATTTTATTAAATTATCACAATGCACATGATATATCGAGTGTATAATAAGCTCACTGGAGGATGTGTGTTCTTTTTTGGAAGATGCACGAGTCTATCAGAGGTGAGATACTGGAGCAGGTTTTAAGTCGACTGGTCACAAAGACAGCCTCGCCTATCAATCATTACTTAGGTAAAACAACCTTCAGATTTGGTCCTAGATTTCAGATGTGCACAAGTGTCTAGTATTTCTGGTTATAGATGAGATTTTAACCTATATTTATTTTGTTTCTTTATATCATCAGATCTTTTCTCTGACATCGTGATCTCTGCTCCCATGATCCTCCTGGAGTCGTCCTCCAAGGTGACAGAGACATTTGACCACCTGTCATACCTGCCCTTAGCCACAGTTCAGGGTCTACTAAAAGCCGTTCAGGTGCCTAAAAAACACACATAAAAATGTTTATAGTCTATACAAGCTCCTGTTCCTTTATTCAATCGCTCTTTTTGTGTAATCTCAGCCACTGCTCAAGGTCAGCATATCCTTAAAAGACTCTTTGATTCTAGTTCTCCGCAAGGCCATGTTTTCCAGGTGTGTATTGATGTGTTCTTTATCAGATGAGGTTTATCTGTAAAATGTATAATTCATGCTTTGGTTAATACGTAAGAAAGCTTAATGCAGATTAACCCCTGAAGATAACTTCTGACACTTTTCTCCTGTAAATGAATTGTCTCTACTAGCCAGCTGGATGGCAGGAAGTCTGCAGTTACTGGCTTCTTGTTGCTGCTTAAGAACTTCAAGGTGCTGGGCAGCTTGTCGTCGAGCCAGTGTAGCCAGGCGATCTCCTCCAGCCAGGTACAGTTACAGACTGCGCATGTGGGTTTTACATATATGCATGAAAAATATTTTCCATTTTAAATATACTCCATCAAATATTACGTATCTCTCTGAACCCTTGAATAGATCCAAGTGGATGTTCATTCACGATACAACTCAGCTGCCAACGAAGCGTTCTGTCTGGAGATCCTCAGCAGCCTGCGTCGCTGCCTGGGCCAGCAGGCGGATGTGCGGCTTATGCTTTATGAGGTCAGAGATCCCTTTTCTGAACCACCACATATTAGTCACAATAACCTAAGTAGTAAATAATCTTACTGCAGTATATTTTATACGTCTTTAACTACAAAGAAGATTCTAAAAGAAAAGCTTCAGCAGTTTTTATACTGAAAAGACAAATTCTTTTTTCAGGGGTTCTACGATGTTCTCCGTCGCAACTCTCAGCTTGCAAGCTCCATCATGCAGACCCTGTTCTCACAGGTAAGTGTATATTTAGTGCAATCTGTGAGATATAATAGCCTGTTTGTAATCTTATCTATATGAATGTGGGGGCTGTATGTCATGTCTGTATCCTCAGCTGCGGAGGTGCTATGAGTCTGAACAAGACCTCCTGCCTCCGGTGAAGCTGGGGCCGTGCATCACAGCTCATGGAGACCAGGTCTACCTCCAGGAACCACTGGTACTGCATTTTTGCAACTCGCTGCTCCTGGTGCACTGTGCAGATGTGGCTGTGTAAATGTCTGCTATAAATAGGGTTTGTTCCTTCTCAGGGCCATCTGGTGAGCTGCACTGTACACTGCCTGCTGTGGCTGCAGAACATGCGTCGATCAGCCAATCCCAGCGCTGATGACAGCGATGAGGAGGAGGAGGAGGAAGGATACAAGTCTGAACTACACACAATCCTCGAGAGCATGACGAGACGCATGATCAAGAGTGAACTGGAGGACTTTGAACTGGTGTGTTTTACTGACACAGTATTAAAAATGATGCACACTGGATGCTTTTCAAAGTGTTAGTCCCCCACAATATCTGGTCTAGATGTGGTTAACTTTTCCTGCATTAGCAATATGTGTTTTAGTGACCAAAGCTTTAAGGTGAGAATCACTAAGACTCTGCAATTCTAATGAAATGATTTGTCTGGCTGAAGAAAATACAGAAATACTTTAATGAGATTTGATCTCAGGAAGCAAGTGAGTATATATACTCTGTCTCTTAAGAATTAATTAATCAAAATGTTCTAATTGAATGTATCAATGATCTTTTTCTAGTGTTCTTCCCTTAATGCATCTGTACTTGTCCCTTAAAGCATCATCTGACATTGTCTTCTCTCTATGTGGATTAGGACAAGTCAGCAGAGTTCTCCATGGGTTCTAGCGTTGGGGTGAAGAATAACATCTATGCAGTGCTCGTGATGGGAGTGTATGAAGTTCTCATGGAGTACAACTTCATCAAAGGCAACTACAGGTAACAACCCCACCACCCACTTTGTCTGCCATGGATAATTGGTAGCATAGATGTTTTTACAGAGAATTCACAATACTTGCCTCTATGTTTTACAGTAAAAGTCGATTTGAGGAGCTCTTGCAGCTGTTTAACCGCTACCACAAGCTGTCTGAGATTTTGAAGGAGAAATCTGGAAAAAGTCGAGTGCCCTCACACAAGACCCCTCGCAGTTTACTCTCTCTGGGATTCATATCAACTCTCCTCACTGTGCTATTCAGGTAAATGCTCTAATCAGATTTGTAATGATTGCTGCACTAAGCAAACATGAAGAGCAAAAAGTTACAAAAACTATGTAAACGTATAAAAACTTGTTTCCAAAAACTGTGTGTTAAATGTACATTTAACAAGCATAGTACAGATAATACAGAGACATTAGAAAATGTTCCAGAACTGTTTGTATAAAGGTCAGACAAATATAACAAATACATATTCTCTTTCAGAGACAGTACTCAGAGCAGAGAGGAGGCTCTCTCAGTGCTGCGCTCTAGTGGAGAATTTGTGCGCTATGCACTAAGTGTAACCTTACAGAAGATCCAGCAGTTAGAGGAAACTGGTCACACGGACGGCCCAGATGGACAGAACTCGGACCGGACTTTCCGCTTCCTCTGTGACATGACAAGGTTGGAATCTCTTGTCATAAAAACATTACTGAGATTACGTTCCTGGTTTTGTTTGATTGATCCGTCTTTGTTTAAATGTCTCCCCAGCGTGCTGATGTGGCGCTACACAAACATCCCCACCGTGGTGGAGGAGGCAGGGAAGAAGGAGAAGCGCTGCAGCCTGTCTCAGCTGTGTCTGGAAGGTCTGCTCAGGATCTTCACAACCTGCCAGCAGCGCTACCCACACAAGATGGCTCAGCTCCTCACTAACATGGGTCAGAATCAATACGTTTTCAGTTGTGAAATTTAGGGATTTCAAGTTTTAAACATGATTATGCAGGAATTCATCATATTTTGTGTTTCTTGCAGACATTGCAGACAATGATCAGCAGCAAGACGATGGCGACGTTACAGAGATGAACTTCTTTTACATCCGACAGTTTCAGGTGCAGTTGTACTGTAATGTTTCTGGATGTAGTTACTATTTCTCCATCATTTTAAAGGTTGATCTAAACTTCAACATCATCACTTAACTTTCTGTCCCCATCAACAGAGAGCGCTGTTCACTCAGTTAAGCGGAGGAGAGGAGGACTTTAACAGCAAAGAGGCTCAGCTGCTGGTCAGCATCTTGAGCGTGCTCTCACACCAGCTGAAACCCTCCACCCAACAGGTTGGTGAACTCTCATGTGCTCTTCATAGAACAAATCCAGCAGCACTAGTGTCACTAAAACCTGTCTGCATCTACAGTTTGTTCAGATGATCACTTGGACTGTGAAAATCTGCAAGGAGACAAGTTTTGGTGAGTTACATGAGAACTTGGTGTCAGTTTTACGCACTGGGAGTTGTTTTTCTGATGCGTGGTTCTTTCTACTTCTTCAGAGGATCCTGTCTTTTCTAAGGGGCTGCTCTCTCTTCTCTTCAACCTACATGTTCTCTATAAGAGTCCTGTTAGCCTCTTGCTTGAGCTCTGCCAAGACATCCACAGCCAGCTGGGGGATATCGATCAGGTACGCACAATTAGTGGGATGATACCCGCATATGTGATTGTTTGAGTTGTACAGCGATATATTTAATCCTGGTACTTAAGTGACAAAATCATTGTCTACACTTACAGTTAAACCTTTGTTTATAGTCTTGAGGAAATTAAGTTACAAGTAAAAAAAAGCAACATTTCAGAATTTTAAATGTTTTCTAACAGTACAATAATGTCAGTAAACAAGCAATTCAGTCAGAATTAACTTGTCACTTTTTCACTGGAACAAAGTTATTAATATAATATTATTTTTCTACACCTTTTCTTTCTCTATGATCAGGACGTGGAGGTAGAAAAACAGTCTCATTTTGCCATCGTCAACATAAAGACTGCGGCGACAGCAGCGGTAAGTGTTGGGTTGTTGGATCTTCAGCGACACAGCTCTCACACAGTCATTGTGACGCAGTGAGCTCAGAGTCTTCACCATCATGTTAATGTGCTTCCCCAGCTGTTGGTCCTGTCTCAGGTGGACAGGGTGCTCGATGAGGTGGAGTGGCTGATTGCCAGAAGGAAAAGCCAGACGACTCCTGACAAATCTGACTCCGGTAAGAATCCTCTCACACTGACGCTCACTTGTAATAATGGTGAGAGTTCAGAAGAGATAAGGGACGAAATGCATCTCTGCCAGTTGAATTACAATTACATAAAACAATTACAAAACTAATGTTGTGTTGTGTAGGTGAAGCCACCCAGACAGCAGGTGATCAAGATCCAATGGAGAAAGCTGTGACACTGCAGCTCGGGACTCTTCTGACCGCATTAAATGAGCTGGTCCAGACGGCTCTGCTCTCTGGCACCTGCACCATCACACTGATGAGGGAACTGCGTCGCACATATACCATCCTCACCACCCTGGTGAAATATGTGCGTATTTTTCTACTCTGTGATCTCAGTTAGTGCAGTTTACCTCAATGTGACAACTTAATTCATTTCCATCTTTTTGTTTCAGTACATCCAGGTGTGCGCTACTCAGCACGGTTTGCTGCCTGCACGCTTTGAGAAGCTGGTGAGTACTGGTTTATTGTTTCATGGTTCATCTAATTTTTCTGACATCAAGCTAATCTTAATGTTTCCTGTGCAGGTCAAACTGTCCGGCTCTCACCTAACACAACAGTGCTACTCTTTCATCACATATGTTCAGGTACCACACCTCACTGCAGATGTCCTGTTCAGACCTGATGTTTACGTTCATCCTGAGAGATCTGATCCCAGGAGGACAGCTCTGTTCACACATGACATTAAAGTGTGTCGAACAATCTGTTAACAAAGACCAAATGATGTTTTTACCCAGTCTGAGAGAACAATTGAGTCCTCTGCTATGGAATAAGCTCTACCCGTTTGAAAAATTTGAAATCATTATGTGATGGTGAAGCGAAATTAGGTCAGAGGACGTCAGCTGGGTTCTTCATATGTGGCCCTCGATGCATTTTTGTTCCACATCTCTGAACACCTTCAATTGTGGTCTGAGCGATTGGATGTTGGACGTTTTGAGGATGCATTCACATCCACTTGTGATTGTATCACTCAGGACAGATATTAATCTCAAGTCTGAACAGGATGAAAAGGTTTCTCATAATGATCTGATTGTCTATGATGTTCGGATTTTTCTGTTATGGATGTGACACTATTAACTTGTGTTGATTCAAAATGTTGTGTTTTCCCTGTTAGGGCGGTGAATTTAGTGGTGGAGATGACAAGAAGAAAAAGAAGAGGAATGAAACGAACGTCGTTGCTTCTGTAAGGACATTTATCTCCTATAACTGTAGCTGAAGTGATTGTGGTTGATTTTTACAACAATACATTTACATGTAAAGATTATTTTCTCTTGGAAGGCAAAACTTCTGCGAGAGACAAAGGCCATCCCTGATTTGATCTTCAGCATCGAACAGTATGAGAAATATCTCATCACACTCTCAAAGAAATCAAAGGTACGTGTGAGCTGAAATACTCAAAACACAAAAAGAGCAACACAAAACTCTAGCATAAGTAAAAATTAAGAAAATGCAGCTTTTCTCCTTGAGAACTGTCAGTGCAGTTTCGTCAAATGTGTTCAGTGTTTCACCAACATCTGTGGGTATGTTTCCAGGTGAATCTGATGCAGTACATGAAGCTGACCACCTCGAGGGATTTTCGCATTATTGCTACTACTCTGGACGCAGCCCTGCAGGAGCAGGACGACAGCCAGGAGGCAAGTTCCATCTCACACTGGAAGCACTGAAAGCTCACTGTATTTTTCTCATGACATCAGTCAAAATAGCTGATGTTTACAATCCAGACAGAGCTAAAATATAGCAATTAACTCTTATATAATATTTTGAAGCAGGCTTGTGTTCGGTAAGTTTACTGTGTCTGTTCTTCTTTCAGACCACGGAGTCACAGGACACAGAGGAGACACAAGAACCCAAACTGAAGAAGCGTAAACAGTGAGCTGGCCCTTCAGAAGCTCCTCGGTTTGACTCACTTGTCCCCACGTTCCTCGCTGAGCCGGAGTTTAACCAGCGGATGAACGGCCTCTTGGCAGTCATGAGCAGGTGCAGCTGTTCTGAACAGTAGTGTTGTCCACAAAGTGCTATCTGTCTTTGTTCAGAGAGCCTTTAGTGATGTTGATGATTTGATAAATGTCCAACGCTTCACCTGTGCAAAGACAACATGTTGGTGTTCATGTGATTCAGAAGAATTCTGTATGTTGTTTATGTATTTGGAAACAAACTGTAAATACTGTTTTACATTATTGTGAGACTTCCTGCCTTGTGTCAGAATGAATAAGCTGCTCTGTTGTTAAGATGCAGTTCACAATCAGTTCAGCACAGTTTAACTATATCATACTTCACCTCGTCAGTTCTTTGTCTACACTAACAGAGGATCTATAGTTTCCCATACACATGGATGCATCCTAAAGAGACTTTCAGCCTAACTGTAATGTGCTGCTTTGTTTTAAAATAAATATAATTTTCTTCCTTCTTCTGTTTATTTAGTTTCATAGTGTGTTTTTCATTGTCTTACATAGAATTTACCAAGCAGTGCAGGTATCACAGCTAAAAGCATTGACAGTTATATTTTATTTCCCCCTACTCTCTTTTCAAAGAGACACCATGCTGTGTAAAGAACTCACCTGGTGGCAGACCGTATCTGCGTTCCAGACCTGTGGGGTTAGAGGGGGTATCACAGTCCATTGTGACCTCCTTCCTCAGACACTGGTCAATGTCAACTGCGCTGAAGAAAGCTACTGACTGGGGAAGGTCCTGCATACCCAGCGCGTGAGCAAACGCACTCCTGTTCGAAACAAACGCACATTCAGGAAAGCTTTCAGGTTCATTGGCATTTCTACGGAGGATATTTTGGCAGGAAAGAATAAATAGAAAGCTTTGAGCTGACCTCGTGAGCAGGTTTGTGATCTGAAGTGCCAGTGCTGCTCGGTAACGGTCTTCACTGCAGACCAGGTATCGCACCTCGTCGTGGATGCTGATGCAGAAACGCCCATCGATGTTATACTCCTCAAAGAGCCACTTCATGGCCACCAGCATCAGGTGAAGGTAGTCCACTGCTGAGCTCTGAACCACCCAGTTCACTCTGCTGGTGATGAACTGACAGAAGAAAGAGATGTGGCAGCAATAGCACATGATCCATTTAGAAGGCGAGATATTGTTTTTCATTCAAGGTACCAATATCTCCAGGAACAACTGACCTCATATTATGTATTTCTTAATATTATACACAACAGTGCAAAAAATATATGCATACAATATAATGAAAATCTTTTCTGTACATGTCTGCATATACAGTTTGTACAATTAAACACTGTTATTACATGTTTGAATGCTGATTGTCTTGAACAGGTTTTGCTAATTGGCTGTCAAAATATGAATCTCATACTAATAAAGGTTTTTGAACACGCTGACTGCTCATTCCTTTGCAAAACAAGCAGGTTGGTAGGATATGAGTTGGCGTGTCTCACCTCATTCTTGACTGCCTCGGGCTCCAGAGCTCTGCTAATCCTGCAGCCGAGAACCGGAGTGGCTGGCTGTGCCGAGTGAGCTATGCTCTCCAGCTTGTTGAACATGTCCGATTCAGTTCCTCCAGACCACAGACGTTTTCCAACAATGTCCCACCTCTTCCGCCGAGTGCTGAGGGGCATGAGGAACAGAGGAAGGGGAAAACAATGATTGTAGAATAAGTTGTGGCTCCTAACAAGCATATCTGTGACATTTTGGCCGCTCCTCTCACCTTTTCGCGGCCAGTCTACTGATCCTACGCAACTCCTGCAAAGAGACGCTTCCATCTTCCTCCGTCTCCAGCTCTATACCCAGTTCATTGACCAGCCACTCGCCCTCCTCTGACAGATCATATCTGACAAAAAAATAGAAACATTTAAATAACTTAGGTCATAATTGTGTAACTATAACGGGTTACTTGAAAATCCAATAACGAAGTTTTAATATTTCTATATATATATATATATATACAAACACAAAATGTCCAATTTATCACAAAACTGAAGCTAAAGAATAATCGCCCCCTGGTCACAAACCCTGCCTCCTCCTTGTTAGCAGATGGGACATGGATCAAACCAAAAAAACCTTAACTATATTAAAAAGATGGTTTCTGACATTTCAGGTAGTTCTCATTACACTGAATATTGTTCAAGCGTCAATTTTTTCATTAAATTTAGTTTTAATTACTTATTTGTTAAAAACACAACTAAACCTAGAATGTAAAAATAGAAAGATAAAAACACAGTTGTTGAGTAAGTCGTGTATACCTGCGTATACCCTTTGTTAAGGCATACATCTGCCTGGCTTTACTGGAAGCTTCTGTCTGACTGAGGCGGTGGTTGAACTGCATCAACAGCCTCTCTGCAAATGGTTGCCCTGCACCATAGATGCGTCCGTAGTTGAACACCTTCGCGTGCTCTCTGCTGATGCCCACAGCGTCAGCAGTGCGGCTGTGCAGGTCAGTGCCCTGACTCTTCTTTCCCTGAAGGGTCATCCAGCCAAACGCTGTGCAACCTGAACCCCGCAGAGACATCAGCACCGTTAATGTCAGATTTTGTTGATGTTTGTTTAGACCATGACAGATGCATTCTACAATTTCAATAATGTGTTTTTTTAATCTAGGAAAGAACTAAACAAGAGTTGACAGGGACAAATCTCACCATGCATGCCAGCAAAGTGAGCCTCTCCGAGCACAGCAGCAATCCACAGCTCCTGAGAGTCCACATCTGCTCCAACCAGGTGGTACCCAGGAGGCACCTGCACCATGGCCTTCAGCTCACTGCCTACCCGATCCCGCTGTGGACACAAAATTCAGTCATATATTCCTCTACTGACTTATAAAACACAAGTTCCAGCTGAGTCACCTCAGACTCTTTCTCCAGTGTCTCTTACCCGTGCATTACTGGCCGTCAGCCACGTTGGCTCCACAGCTCGACGTGTTACTGTTCCAGCGGTGATGACCTGAGGTAATATTGCACCATACTGGCCCTCGTCATCAAACTCCTTATGTCTTTGGGAGACAGAAAGGTTTTTGTTATATACAATGACACCCCCCCCCCACCCACCCCACTATATGGCAGATCAACATCAATAGTTGTAATTGATACACCAGACAAACCTGATGACAGTACGAGGAAGCTCTCCTTTTCGCAGCCACAGCACCATCTGAGAGCTGTGAGAGGACACAATAAATTCAATGTCATCATTAACAAAGCTGATCTGTGATCAGGGTAAAAGATGAATGTGGTAATGATAAAATCTGACATGTACCTTATACGTTTATGGGCATTCCTCCAGAAGGACATCATTTTGTTGATCTCCAGAGCTCGTGTAGCATTGGTTCCACTGCGTCCTGCCCTAAGAGTACCATCCTCCATCTTGGCCAGAAAGTCCTTCGAGAAAGGACTGCCGACATTGTTTTGGTTGCCATCCTGAAACAAAAATGTTCAGTGAGAAGATGAAAGAAGCTCAGTGGCGTGACACTGTGCCAGTGCAAGCTAAATATTGAAACTTCACTTTACCTTGTGAGGCAATTTGAAAAACCAGCACCCTGGGATATCTACATCATTGTAGGGCCCATTTCCATGGTGATAATGGCACTGACTATTCTCTGGGACGTAAAGGTGATCCTGGGACTGTTGATAAAGAATACAAAGTATGTCATACGACAAAGTAGTATAGTGAAACAAGTAAACACAACACACAGCATGTTAGAGAAGGTATTGCAGTTCCAACTGAACAATAAAAGGAGTGGCTATAAATAATTAATAGGACATTATAGTATTAGACATATAGCATCAGTCCATAACACAGATCAATTCTCTCACTGTGTTTTTGGTCCTCGTTGTTCTGACTCCATTTTCCTCCATCAGACTTTCCAGGGAACTTAACTCCTCCACCTTAAGAAGAGATTAAGAAATAATTCTCAGTCGTGACACATGTATCAGTTCTGCGCCTGTAGGCCTGAGCAGTGATTGCAAATAGCATCAATGCAAACTTTAGAGGATTTCAAATGTGCGCCTATGTTTTCCCCCACCTTTGCCCACACTGCGCTGTCTGTCAACATGAGGTCATCTGATAGGTGGGAGTCCAGATATTCAGGCTGCTCTTTGCTGTTCTGCTCACAATACTCCCTGTAAACACTTTCAATAGCTCTGTGGAACACAACAATGCTTTAATTTGCACATCCTCCTTTAAACCCAAGGCTAAATAATGAACAGAAACATCCAGCCGTGTCTGATTACCCTAATAAGCTCATGTCTTGATGAGAAACACTCTAACGTGCTTGCACATCGAGAGCGGTGTATTGACTACCTGTGTGGGCACACAGGCCCGGCGTTGTCCTCCTGAGATTTAAGGTTATCCCTGCGTCCAGGTACCAGATAGCCCCACCCATGTTTCTCTGCGAAATGCAGGGGGAAACCATCCCACGTCAGGCCCATCAGCTTAGGCGTCAGTCTCATCTGCAGACTGATCAGGCTGGCTCCAGGCGACCAGCTGTCCTCCTCAGACATCTTCTCACACATCTTACGATACCATCTAAACACACCGTAAAGAAGGAGAAGGGCAAATTTGATGTTGACAGAAAACACTTCATAAAAACAGTGGATGGCTCTGTGACGTTAGAGAGTGATCTTACCCTGGATGTCCAGGCAGATGTTGCCTTCTCTTAGGAAGTCGATTCACTGTTTCCTTCAGCCTCTCTACAGCCACCCTGCTGGGGAAAGGGTCCGCCATCTCCTCTTCAGATGGTGGACCTGGATCTAAACCAATCAAATCGCCAAATCTGTCAATGTCAACACTTTAAGGCCATGTTGTTATAATGTTTCAATTAAAAACAGCAGTCTTACAAAAAGAGAGATGTAGCATTCATGATTTGAGCTCTTTACCTTCTTCCCAGTCTGAAGGAGGAGCAACAACTTGTACTTCGACTGTTTTTTTTACTTGTTTCTTCTTGCTGGCTGCAACTTTCTTCTGCTTGAACTCCTGCACATCCCACTCAAGATCCCAAAGCCAGGGGTCTTCTTTATATCTTAAGTGAAGATATTTAACACATTCTGTTCAGTGGAGGCTTTATATAAATTACCTCTAAAGACATAGATATGTAAATCTCTAGATTATAAAACAATCTTTCCTGCTTTTTAGTTTGACCTAGTCAAACAGTTGTGGCCAAAATTGTGTTAGATGTGATACAAAAATGGTGGGAAACTTTTCACCTGTCGTCCTGCAGCAGCTGGCAGGCATCATCAGCTAGAGTCATCAGAGTCTTCTTCATCTCTCTCTGGAGCTCTTCGTACACGTCTTGAGAATCTTCCAGGTATCGATCCCAGTTGTGGTTGACGGGAAGGTAGCTCACACCCATCTCCAGCATCCCTGCAAACGTCACTGGATGAGGACACCTTAGAAAAAGACAGTTGAGATAATATTAATATGCAGCACTGTGAACAAATAATCAGTGTGTTTTGCTTCCTTAACACACACAATCAATGTGTGTTTGCTGACCTCTCCATGAACAGGGGCAGTTGTTCTGCGAAGACCTGATGGGTGGCCTGAACATCCATGGCGCAATACCGCATCAGCTCCTGTAGAGGTCAGCAAAGGCAAAACTATCTGTCAACATGTGCCTCATTATGAATGCAAGTCATTTTACAGGATCTTATAATGTGAATACATTTAGTTTATGACTACTGACAGCCTGACACAATTTGCCATGAACCTCTGACCTGGAAGTTGCTCCTGACATCCATCATGCTGCCCTTCACAAAGGTCTCTCTGGCCTCCTTCTGCAGCGGCGGCCCTCCCACGTACAGTGCATGGACATCAGCAAGGTTATTAATGCTGCCGATATTCACCCAGTCCCAGGAGCCAATCTGAACAACAAACAAAAAGAAAAACAAATCAAGCAACATTGACTTTTGCTGATGTCAATACTTTAAAACATATGTTGTAGCAAAACTACGGTGAGAAAAAGACAAACCATTGGACCCTGCTTTTTCTGTCCACTCTTCTTCATATGTTCCTTGACCCCCTGAAGATCCCTCCTCTTGCCCAGCTTGTTGGCCAACCATAGTGTGCGCTGGAACCCAGTCAGTCCTGATATAGCCATGTGAAGGCTCATGGTATCCATGAAGCGCACCTTCGAACTCTTTAGGAGAGAAAACATAGTATTTTCTAGAGTGGAACATCTTTTAACTTTGATGTCATAAAAGTCTCAAACTACTTATTTAATATTGTGAAGAAAACAACAAAGATCCAACCATGAGGAAGGGGTGAGAATTCTGTTGTGTGAGTTCAAAGGATAAAAAATACCTTCACCATCCTCTGAATGTTTACCTTTAGTAAGTATTGCTCCTTAATGAAAGATCGGTCAAAACTGACATGATGGCCCACTACGAGCCGATGCTTCCACTGGCCTCTCGGAGGAAAGGCAGAGTTCATAGGTGTCTCAAGAGGTATGAGGTCAGCGAGGGTCAACTGGTTTGACCAGGAGTATCGCTCTTCAATCAGACGCTTACTGCACCAGGAATACCTAGCAAGTTTGAAAAAGAGTGCAAACGCAATTTCCATGTATGAAACATAAATAGTTAATGATGCAAGGAGGTATATTTCTCTCCTAAACACAATCATCACAATTCTCCTTCTTCCTCACCAGTTAGTGGGAGACACTGCCGCAGCCAGCGTGGGACACTGTCCCTCCGTTACACACACCTCCACATCAAACACCAGCGCAGACTCCTCTGGGAAGTCCACCTTCTGACTCTCCCCACTGGGCCCATAGCGTGTCCAGCCAACCTCCCACTTCCATTCCTGTGGCATGGGGGGGAGCTCGGCCTGCTGCAGCTGGATGGCAGCTTCGAGGTAGGGAAGACTCTGATTCTGAGCCAGGATACGAAAGTGCTCATCAATATTTTCGCCATACATCTGAGCCAGTTTCAGCTCCACGTCGGGCAACAGTGACGTTTCTTTCCCCCACAGCTGGTGTTTCTGCAAATGCTTGATGCCGCGCTCCACATCCTCCTCTCTGTATTCTGGTTCCAGACCTCTGAAGATCTGCTTATGGAGGTTCTTTGACAGCATCTGAATGTTGAGGGGATTCAGGCGGGTCTCTGTACAGTCCTCGCCTTGGAGGGAGCGAGGCCTGCTGCAGAACTGGGACCTTGAACACGTCCATCGCAGACAGACGAGAGACCTCTGTGGAGGACGGCGCAAAACATGCAGCATCACCTCATGAGGACGTCACACTGGAGCTGGAAGACATTGAAACAACATCAGCAATATGACATGGGACTTCTTAGATAGTCCTGGATTTAAATGATGAAATAATATACTTTAGTACATGGGTACAATATTCAAATCAAGGAAGTTCTAGCTTATATGGGGCCTTTTATTTTTGCTATTTCACGATTGTTACATGTCTTAATTGTGCTGGTCTTATTAAATAAGATTTTGTGATTTTCATATCTTGGTGCTACTGAGTTAAATGTATGCTTTTACTTGTTTTCATCACTACAAAGTTAATACCGAGCTTTAACATTGACCATTGGCACGACTGAAAGTAACTGCTAAGATTAGTTCAAAAACTATAGTTAACCAATAAAAATAGCTTCCTATGTCATATAGCTAAATGATTATACAGCTAGCCTGCTGATGGATGTTTCAGTAATGTTTACTACGAACACTGACTGATGCTAACTTGATAGCCAAACAAAATATCGCATAAGTTTGTTAGCTAAACAAAAGCAAACCAAAGATCGCTCACCTTGTCTGTGTGTTGTCTGGTCTAAAGTTGAAGCGAAGTGAGAGAATATTTATTCAAACTTGTTTAAAATCGTTTCACAGACGAGGAGCATGTTCCTCTAGCATGGCAGCAACAACAACACAGGCAAGACGGGGCGTTAGCGCCTCCCAGCGGATTGGAAGACTGCAACCCGTGTAAAACGATCGATTGTGTGGGACAGCGGAGGGACAAAGTTCGGCTGTGAGTCGTATTCGAATCTGGATTATACAGCAATTATGTATAGTAGAATGTTGTCAATAACAGCAGCGTAAAACACAAACAGGACTATTTATATATTAGTTATATTCTGCCACTTTTACAATATAAGGGCCGCGTGGCCTAATGGATAAGGCATCTGACTTCGGATCAGGGGATTGCAGGTTCGAGTCCTGCCGCGGTCGTTGTTTTGTTTTTGGTTTTCTGATCAGGATTGTTTCTTTATCAAACCACACATCGGTTGTATCTTTACCTTCCGTCCCCTCTGAACTATAAACACCACCACTACTCCACTACACCACACTTCCACTGAGTAACTCTGGATCTACAGCTGCTCCACAACATGCAGCTGCAACAGTGACAAGCATTGTTTGAGTCGGTCTCATTTCACTGCGACACCGTGTTTCCCTGCACCTCAACGCAGCATCGCACATCTGCCGGCCTCCCACACGCTCCTGGAACACATCTGTGTCCCGGTACCTCGTGTTCCCCTGAGCTGCAGGACACAAAGAACAACCTGAGGTTTCTCCCTGTGCTGGGTTTTCTCTGCTCGTCAAGACGATGGCGGAGGAAACGGAGGATGTGGAGCTGAACGAGCAGGAGAGGACGCGAGGAGGCGCAGTCATGATGAGGTGCACCGCAGGAGACAGTTCTACGTACTGTGTATATACAGCATGGGATAAAGTACATTTACTTTATTACTGCTGTACTTTATGCTTTATGTACATTTCACTTTTACATTTCTACATGTATCAGCAAATGTCTGCAATTATGTTGGATTCTATATTCTTTATTAAACAAGGACAATGCAAAAAAAAACCATTCATCTCAAAATGAGAAGGTTTATGCCAGATTTAGCTATCAGCTCATTTCCATGTGCAGTCCTTGGGCAGGTACACAAAACATCCCAACAAATGTGTTAGTGATGAGTTATAGTTGAACTGAAATCAAATGAAACTCATTAAACAAACCTCATTATACTTATTCATGTGGCTGATATTTATATATGGCACAGTAAACACACAGTAAAAAGCAAAGGTCAGTCAAACAAGATGAAATAAAGTAAGATCACGATGAATCATAACAGACTCCAGCTGAATCAATTGACTTGCATATAAAATGTGATTTTATATATATTATCTTTTGAATTGTTGATGTTGTGTCATGACTGCTGCTTCATCCATCTTTCCCTCTCTAACGGGCTGTTGACTGCAGACACCCTCTGGCCTCCTTCTTCCACCTGTTCTTCCGAGTGGTTGCCATCGTGGCCTATCTGCTCTGTGACTGGATCAGCAAGAACTTTGCTTCGTGTTTCGTCCTGATCATAACTCTGCTTTCTTTTGACTTTTGGTCCGTTAAGGTACGTGGTCAACTGCCTGTCGATCAGCTATGAATTCCTCTCCTGACTTTACTGTGCCCCCCCCTCTCTTGCCCCGTTATGCACGGTCTTTGTTTGCCCTGTGTTCTGTCAGAATGTGACTGGCAGGCTGCTGGTGGGGCTGCGCTGGTGGAATCAGATTGACGAGGATGGAAGGAGCCTCTGGGTGTTTGAGGCCAAAAAAGTGAGACACTGTCATTGTCCTGTGCCATTTTGAACTTGGAGGAGCATTTTGGGGGGTTGATTAACATGGGCTGTTACACGTGTGTGTGTGTGTGTGTGTGTGTGTGTGTGTGTGTGTGTGTGTCTGTGGAGTTTGTCCAGACCTCCCGGGGCAACAACACTGGGACGGAAGTAGAGGAGAGGATATTTTGGCTTGGTTTAATCATCTGTCCTCTCATTTGGACGTTGTTCTTCTTCACCTCCCTGTTCTCCCTGAAGATTAAGTGGCTGGTGAGACACACGTTGCCTGCGTGCACGCTCTGCGAAACATCTAACACCATTATAACAAGTGTCTCAAAAGCATGTTGTCTGTCCGTCTTTCTCCCCCAGTATCTGGTCGTAGCTAGTATTTCCCTCCAAGTGGCCAACCTCTATGGTTTTCTTCGCTGCAAGGCGGTGGGACAAGATGGCCGGCCTCCAGACTCCCGCTCTTTCGCGGGACAGCACCTCCTGCAGCGCGTGAGTGACGGACTGAAGTATTTCACAAGAGTTTTCCTGTCAACATGTCAGTGTGATGAGCTCTCAAATTATTTTGTCCTCTTGCAGCCAGACATCATCTTTGGGATACTATGAAGATGACCTCCCCTACTTGTGTGTGTTATTGTTTGTGTGTGCTTGCGTATGTGTGTGTGTGTGTGTGTGCTATACATTGAGCTGCCTGATCTCCAGAGTTTCCACAAACCTCATCTACTTGAATGGCTTTGTGCCGTTGTTTCATGCTGCTAACTACTCACATGTTGCCCATGGATCAGTCTGACTATTATGCCAATAAAAGTCAAGATAAGTGTATTCTACCTTTTTTTCCCCAATCAGTGAGTTATTGTTGATCACATATTTGCAGGTTTTAAACAGCTCATATATAAGCAGTATTTCCAGAGTGTGATTTTCTTGCTCTTTGTCTTGGTTCCGGTTAAAGTCTTTGTGGCACATTTCTTTGTTGGAAGGGCTTCATGACCCGTGCCAAAAATAAACCAAGGAGCTAAATCTGATATAAGCTAAGCTAGTATTAGCACCCATTAAGACATTTGACTTCAGTGAAGGAAGACAAGGCAGCCTCTGTGTGCGCCGTGGTGAAAATGGCTCTCCCTGTTCTCCGGCGCTATACACATATAAATTGTTCCACCGCACCTTTTGAAAGAATCGACAGAAAATGCTGATACAACACACATGAACAAACACATGACCATTAAAGAGGTTGGTGAAAATGTGCAGTGTGTGATCTGCAGTCCTACATGTCGCAGGCTGAGTGTCGATGCTTAGTGGACCACATGGAGGATAAATCAGCAACAGATCATGAACCACAGGGAAAAAAGAAAAATGGGAGTGAAGTTTGCATTGAAAATGAAAATAAGATAATTCAGATAGATTTATTGAAACAAAATTTAAAATGTTTATTTCAAGTTTTTTGGGATTATCAGTCATTTGGTAGCTTTGAAATTATGGTTTATCAGATTGTGAACCACAACCCAACAAAAGTTTCAATCCTGGGTGAGAAAATGTTTTTTTTTTTTACATTGGCTGGTTTGAGTCTGTACATTCTGAATAGATCCAGAAACATTTCTGTTAAAGTCACAGGTCCAAAAATTCATTTCAAGAATAAATGTCCATTAAGATTCTGGCATTGAAGCTGGATACTGTTAGACTTTGAGTTTTCTGTATTCTGACTGAAATCTATGATTCTACGATTGAACCACAAAGCACTTAAACTTCTGTTCGCTTCACTAAAATTAAATTTCCAGAGACAAGGAGAAGCCCACAACCCATATTCATGATCTCCTCCATTCAGCCATTGTTTGCTGTAAACGTGGCTCAGAGACTTGATGTGTTCTGGTTGGTCCCAGATTAAAGAAAACATTTTCATTTATTACAGATTTGGAGGAAACTGTTTTGATGACTCTTGGCTGTGGCTCCTGAGCTCATGGCCAACACTTGCCATAAACGCCTCAAACCTCAAAGATCTTTTATGTGTGAAGATGGTTCACCCTTTCACCTAGTCTATGAAACCCTGTGTAACAGAGAAGGGCGGGAAGTCATTCCGTTGTCTTGTGCACTTTCTTTTCAAAACTTACAAAGACCTAATGGCATGATGTGTGTGGGAGATGGCACCCTGCAATGATATAATATGAATGTAATATAACTTAGTTTGGCTACCAATTTGTGGCAGTGCTACTGTTTACACATTTTTGATTGCTGTGTTAAATGGTGAAATTGGATGAGCCTCAACCATGTGGATGTCACGGCAGTGGAGCAACACAGGGAGTTACATGGAATTGCAGCAGAGGCGTATAAAGTTGAGCTGGATTCTTATTGGAACACCCTGGAAGTTCAGATGGAACCATTGTATATTAAGGCATTCCTCTAGAAATAGTACATCGCAATCCACACTGACTAGTTTTTATAGTCTATTCAAGAGAATTGATAGATACACAGTTTAAAAGACAAGATGATAAGAGCTTGGCCAAAGCTGAACAAGCCTGCACATGATCGTCTTCTTCTCATGTACAAATATACAAGAAAAAAAAAAGAGGTCGAATAACAAAAAAAAAAATTTGTCATAAAAAAATTGTTAAAAATGTGTAAAAACAAATCCTTTCCCTTGATCCACATCCTCAACAGAATTTACAGAATTTGTTGGAAATCAGTTTTTGTATAATCCTGCTTCCAAATAAACCAACAGACAAGGATCCTTAAGAAACACTATTCATCTATTAAACAACGATGATATTGTTTATTTATCTATTAGCCTTTATTTAATCAGGTTTGTCCCTTTGAGATTCAAAATCACTTTTACAATAGAGACCAGGCCAAGAACAGCAGCAACGGTTTCACCAGTAAATGTAACTAAACAGACTCATAGATGACAATAAAACCTGATCATATAAAACTTAAACTCATTCAACTTCACAATGTCTTGAAACTGAAAATCAGATTCTAAATTATTCTATGCATTATTCTATTATTCTACAGTTCCAAAAATCTAAAAGCAGATCACAAGATGTCCATAGAACAAAGATCATGACTCATAATTCAAGTCTAAAAGAAAAGAGGAATGGTATTTTTACCCAGAATTGTTTTGTAAATTTACACTAACTGAAGGTCACACATACTTAAGGGAGATGAATTTGCCTCGAGGAAAGTTATGATGTTGAAGTTATTCATGTACATACAAGTCATTATCAGTGTCAGCAGCAGGCCTGGTAAGCGTTGAAGAAATCAATCATTCAATCAGTCAGAGAAAATAAGTCAGAGTGAGAGGTCTCGCTGAGCGCGGAGAACCTCTGGTGCCGGGCGGACGCTGTGATTGGTCAGCCCGCCGCCCCCTGGTCTCGGTATGACGTCAGTGCGGGAGCGGGTTGTGTGACAGTGGAGGAGGCGCGCGAGCTGGAGGAGAGGCAGAGGCTGCAGGAGCGAGGATGGAGCAGGAGCGAGGAAGAGGAGCAGGAGGAGGAAGAACATCTCCACTGTTCCACAGAGTCCAACATTCAGCATCTGCAAAGATTCACCAGCGGCTGAAGTTCAGGACGTTTTTAGCTCGGACACAGGTAAGACAGCGGCTGGGGACAGGAAGGATGCGCACGGACAACGTTGCATTTTCATGTGTCTCATGCACATTTTAATTTTTGCATTGCATGTTTGCACTTTAGTTTATTTAACCATATTTATTCATCGCATTTAATTCAAATCTACACGTGATTTGTCCCTTAAACAGACAAAAAAAAACCTTTTTCTATAAAGTACCACATTATTCTTACTATAAACCAGCTCCTCGGCCTGTAATATTCTGACTACAGGAGCAAATTGGTTCCTGTAATAGCTCGTGCGGATAATCCCCGTGATGTGGAATACTAGTCTAGTTTTAGAGGAAGAAGAAGAAGGCCAATCACAACTCTCATTAAAAGTGGGGATTCGTTGCCCCCCAGGAGCTTTAAAGAGCCAATAAGAAATTAAAGCATCTTAAAAAAAAAGCTGCAGCTCAATTTAGATTCAGTAGATTAAAAAAAGAAAGAAAGAATAAAAGAGGAGCATCTCTGAAGCTGCTGCATCAGAGAGACGTGTCTTTACTCAGCGTGGTCTCAGGGTCATGGTCATTTCTTTCAGGCCGTTTAATTAGAAAACAAGCTGTTATCTCAATTTAGCCTCTTTTCACAGTTTAAATGTGTATTCTTGTGAATTTAAAAAATATATTGACATTTTAATGTTAAAAAATACCATCAGTCCTTCATTCTTAGTGTTAAAATGTCTTTAATTGTATAAAATCCCACTGCAGGTTAGTGTTGGTTCTTTAATAGTGCACATGCATGGTGTAAAAATGTTAATGGAGACGCTGCAGAGCAAATAATCTGTGTATTGGTGGAGTGTGCAGGTGGGTGTTTGTGAATGCAGCTTTAACACGTGCAATGTGCCTGGTCTGTGTTATATTTCAAGGAGATTTTTTTTTAAGTTTCACCCTTTTTTTCTTTGTAAATTATGTTTTATTATGTTGTATTTTCTTTAAAAAAATGCACTTGGATGTCAGATGCTAATATATAAGCTACAGGCCCCCCACACAAATATATGTTTAACAATAAATGCAAAATAGTGTTTTTATTCTATTAATATAGATATAATAATATTTTGAAGGAGGCCTTTTGAATAAAACTGTGAAATATTTTTAGGTCAACAGTTATTAGGCCTTAACCAGCGACTTGAACATTTATTTGTATCTCAACTAGCAGCACACGTGTTTATATCCTCACTCTTAATACACTGAACTCACCTAATGAATATCTTCCGTTGTTTAGTTGTTATTAATGTTTTTAAAGATGATGTTATGTAAGATGTAATGTTTTATTATAGGCTCATGTGTGTTCACCTGTTTCCAGAGGACGCCTGCAGCATCATGCCGGTGCACAGAGTGAGGGGAGGTCTGTTTCTGTCTTTGGTTATCTAGCTGTATGAGTGTTAAATACCTGTCATAAAGCTAGATAACCGAAAGTAGAAATGACTTCCGTATAACGTTGTGAGAGAGAAACAGAGAGAGAGAGAGACAGAGAGAGAGAGAGGGAGAAGACCCTTCAGGCTTTAAACCCAACGAGGTGGATTTTCACTTTCACCACAAAAAGGTAAGAAAATATTTTCTTATTTTATTTTATTTAGAAAATCCGTAAAGAAAATGAGCATAAAAATAATATTGAGTGGCTTTAAACGTGTGTATGGACAAACATGGTATGGAAATATTTGGTATAGCATGATAATATATATATTTTTTTCTTTTATAATAAGCATAAACTTTTAGCAGATGGTGCTTTTTCTTTGCGTTGAAATGTTTTTATCTTAACTGTGTTTATCACATTCTGCACTGGAGACATGTGAACATGTTTTTGTAAAGAAATCCAAAATTCTTATGAATAAAAGCTAATTTGTTTTTCGTAATTTCATGAGGGAAAGACGGAGTTTGAAGCTCAAGCAGCTTCTCATTTATCCCTGTGTTCTGCACTTTGGCTTCACATATATTTGTCTTGTGCTCTTTTAATCTAACTTCTTTTTATTTTGAAGCTGTGTGAATGGCCTGTGAGGGTCCACAGTCAGTAACTGTTGTAGGCTGGTCCTGGTGGTTCTGTCCATTCAGACCCTCTGCAACATGGTGCTGAATGTTAAACAGGTCGCCCAGTGGGTGGAGGGAAATAGCATTGTCCAAAACCTTTTCCGTTCCAAGGGATATGACCTAAGATTTAGAGACATCATCCAAGAATCATTTTGTTGTTATTATGTAAAAAAAAGTCTAATAATCTGGTTAATATCAATATTGGTTTAGTAGCAACAGGCCTTAATCACAGCAGACATGTTGGTTTTAACAATGGCCTCGATCTATTTAAGAGTGCCAGTCCGCCATGACAGTGAGGCTGCATGCACAACACCAGAGCCCAGAAACTGAAGCTGCTAAATGGAACTCAGCCATCGTTGATTTTATTGTTTTCGCCTGTGTGACATGTCGAAATGTTTTGTGTTAACAAAGCCTCGTCCCCTCTCATCCCACCTGACATTTAAGCTGTAAAATAACATTGAAGTTAAAGAATTCCTCATTTGCGTGATGTCCTCCAGGTTTTCTCTCACACTGACTCGTATGTTCTCTTCTGCCATTACTACATACTTTTTTTACAGCCAGTAGTTATATTAATTTCCCTCTAATTCTTTTGGATGAGTATTTTCCATCCATTAAAAAAAATGGGAACAGATTTTAGATTTCTCTTTCAAGACTTTGTTTACAGATGAGAGAAAAGGGAAGCTAACGCTTTGTCTGCACACTAGTGTCTCCAGGACGATTAATAAAGCAGTTGAGTGCTGTAGCACCCTACATAACACAGGGTTAAAAAAAACACTTGTCGTCTGTGTTTAAAGCTGCACCATGTTCCTGTGCCTTTGGGAAACATTGTGTGTCGCCTCAATGAGAAGGCCGGGGCCATCCTGTAGACGGGAGCCGAACCTTTCAACCTGGCACTTCAGCGCTTGTGCGGCGCAGACGCTCAGCCCGGAGAATGCCACTAAAGCCTAAAGAGCACCAAAGTGAGATGAGAGTTTTCATTCACTCTGTTAACTAGCTATTGCAGCGGAGCTCGCTGTCACTTCGGGCTAATTGCTTCGTTTCACTGCGAGATATTGGATATGTGAAAAGGCCGAGGTCGAAGTCTTTTCCTGAGCCCTCCCTGTCACATGCCTCCGTAATGAATGGGAGTAAAAGCACTCTAGACTTTATTTATATGATGGTCCGAGGTGCCCTTGTTTCAACACGAGTGCAATTCTTCTAATGCTTTATACTGTGGCAAAAACACACACACATGCACAGCAGGCAGACCTGCAAAGATTTAAAAGTTTGGAGATCTAGCTGAAAAGGACACGATCATATGTTTGTGTTCACCTATGATAACAACTAAAAGTCTGAAATGTCCTTTTTCTCTTTTGTCTTCTCTTTTTGCAGGTTTTCTGGAGGTTGGCGTGTTTCTAAAAAACCTCCTTTAAGCAAACCAGGAAAGCGGGGAGGAAAACGCGGTCAGGCCGACATTGCCACCTCCTCCTCTCTCATCACCCTTTTTGCCCCACAGTCTCTAATGCCATCTGCACCGCCAACGGGGGGACACTTTGCCCGTGCCAGGAGGAGGCGGAGAAAGACCCTCGCCAGATCCCCGGAGAACGGGCGCGCTCAGAGGAGCCATCTTGGGAGATGCTGCCGCGACACCTAAAATGGCTGGGGCTGGCATAGTAGGTGAGCTGCATCATGGTTTTCCTGTTGGGTACTAGTGGTAATGGTGTTGGTGGGCAGGAGGTGGGGGAGTGTGTGTGTGTGTGTGTGTGTGTGTGTGTGTGATTGGAGGGGGGAGGAGCAGGAGAAAGGATGAGGGGAAGAAGAAGAGTTTCCCATTTCCTCCCCAGTCACACATGGCCTCTCCCTTTTCTCTATCTTCTGCTCCTGCTAATTAGCAGTTAAGGGGTGATGTGGGGGGGGGGGGGGGCTGGCGGATGAGGAACGGTGGTTGGTGGTAACGGGTGATGCAGGGGGGGGGGGCTGTGTAGCAAACAAAATTAATGAGCTGGCACTGGTTGAGGGAAACCTGCCATCCTCTCTTGTCATGGTGCTTCTGTACTCCCTGGTGCTCACCAGGCAGCGGTGTACGCCGCGTCTCCGCCTGACGAAGCTCGTCGATTAACACAGGACTGCTTGAAATGTGATGAAATTCTCACTAAGATATTTTGTACAGTATCTTAAGAACATTATTGTTTCAGGGCAGAACTGTTACGATCTTAGGTTCAATTGAGTGTACGAACAAAAGGCTCGCAAAGCTCCTCCTTATGTGTAATGATAACACAACCGAATAGTTTTCATTGTATTTGATTGTGTGTTTGTGGGTTTAGTATTGATTACGAATCCTCTGAGATGACGTTGTGCTGCACCTGCAGACTAAAAACGTCTCACTCACTCCAACAACGTAAAAATGTCACATTCTGCCAAACTCTGACATGGGCGAACTGTCGCCGCCAAATATCGAGGCTCCAAATCTTTGCCAGCTTCATCCCTATAACCTCTCTCACACACACACACACACACACACACAGACACACACACACACACACACACACACACACACAGATCCTGAGAACATGTTCTCTAACATTGGCGCAGAGCTGCTGTCCTGTCCCCCCGGTGTCTCTGGAACGAACCTGGATCAGAAACGCGAGACACGTGAGTGTGTGTGTCCAGGGCCAACATGTGCAGCTGCAGTGATTGTGTGTTAATGAACAGCACCGTGCGTTTTCACATTATCATTCAGACCCTCTCTCTCTCTAACTCCACACCCCCACCCCCTCAATAGCTGTTTAGCCCTCCCCGAAAAAACCCGCTTTCCCACCATTGTGGGTGCTGGTGCTGCGGCGGGGCCTGAGTTGGGGGGCAGGGTGGGAAAGACCCTCCAGACTAGACATGAGCAGATGCCTGAGACATTAGACTGTCGCGCGGATCACCGGGGTCGGGCGAGCCGCTGAGTTTTAATGTGTGTGCAAGTGTATGTGTGTTTGATATGTGTGTGTGATGGGGGGGGTCCAGGGCCTGGAGTGCCACCTGACTGTTCATTAGTCTATTCAGCCTCTGCTGCATGTCTGAAAGACATGGAGATGCTGATTTCCCCCCCCCCTACTAAATGAGAGTGATTGCAGTGGCATTAGAGATGCATTCACACATGATATGCGTATAGAAGCTCAAGCCTGCCTGCACCCCGTCACAGAGTGGATCACGTTCTGCTGTTGGATTGTGTCCGAGGTGTTATGCAACGTTACATCAACATCCCATTCATGTAGTTTTACACTCTAGTCTGGTTTTATTTAGAATTTGAACCTTAAACAGTGTCTCCATCATCGCTGAATGCATTGTTTCCTTCATGCAGACAAAATCTACACGTTTGTGTCTCTCACAGGTTGTAATAAAACACACACATCATGAAAATCTCTCAGGACAGTTGGCAGCACGTAGCATCGCTGCGAATGACTCAGCTAAGGCGATGGGTGTGCCTAACAAGCTGAATGATGTAACCCCGCGGATAATGGTTATTAATGAGCTTCGTACTGTACATGTGCCTTCGCCAGATATGTCAAAAGACGATTGCCTATCTTTATTCATATGAAAGACTCCGAGGTGTCTGCATAACTGCATTTGTGCTGCTCATCTGTGATATACGGCGCATTGCTTCGGGCAGATTTGACAGAGGAGAGAAAGCAAGGTGAAGGCGGGGAAATGAATCGTGGAGATACCAGAGCTCGCTCCGTGCTTCAATCTGTTTGTAGCAGATCGTGGTCAGAGTTGGAGAAAACACAGGAGCTGGTTTTAAATTGTTGATTGTTGAAAAGCAAAACTAAAAAAATGTTGTCTCGTGGAGAAAAGGGTGGTGGCAGATGGATGCTCGAGGAGGCAGGTGTGGGAAGCCATGTTTGGGCCACCACTGTTAGCTTTAGCGTGTGTTAGCTTGTGCAGTGCCATGCTGTAGCGGTTCGCAGGCACGCGGAGCTGGGCCAGGCGGACTGTGTGTGTGTGTATTATTGGACACGTAAGGGGGGGGGGGGGTTGGTGTGCTGCTGCATGTGAGAGCTGCAGCAGACGACAGACAGCGTGGTCAAAAAGAGGCGGCGACTGACGCAAATTTGTCAGGGAAATGTATTCATCCACACGGCGTCTCACACGAGAGTGGCCGTGTTCGCTTGTGTTTGGAGAATGTAAAGACGAGTGACACACACCCACACACACACACACACACATTTATTCATCTGATGATTTCCTACTGAGATTCGTAATTCTCACTTTTTGCAGTAGCCTACGTTGGGGGAAGTGGTCTCTAACGAGAACGAGGCAGTAGACAGAATTAAATCATATTGATTTTTGATGTGTGGGCGTTTAAACATCATGTTGGAGCTACTTAAGAGTCTGGTTTTAATCTGATCTGAAACAAAGAGTTTCTGGTCTGAAAGCAGAGAGGCTGGACAGTAAGGTCATCGGCTCAGACACCCCGTCAGGAGGATTTAGGATTTGAGCGTCCCTGAATCTCTCTCTCTCTCCCCGCACACTGTAGATACAGTAACTAAAACATTCAGTCTTCAAATCCTCAATCTCCTCCTTCTTGTACATAACTTTGAATTTGATTGAGAAAATGTATTTCCCCTCCAGAGAATGCCAGAATAGAGATGATTACCTTTCCCTTTCTTTCTTTTCTCTTTCCTCCTGTTATTCGTTATTATCTATGTATTGCTTTTTTTTTCTGTGTGGGATTTTCAGAGCAAGGAAATTATAATATGTGACATGATGAAGTGACAGCAGCCGGCGCTCACTTCCTTTTCTGTTCGGGTGCAGCAGCGTAGCCATAGTAGCGATAAAATGTTAATACCATATAGCTCCTGGGTTACCTCTTTGGATTCTCCTCACTATGTGTGGACACTATTAATGTTTTAACGGCTCTGCTGTGATATGTGTATATATATATATATATATATATATATATATAAAGCCTAGCCCTATAGTCTTGGATGAGGTCCAATGTGGGTCAAGCGAGGCTCATCTGGGCTCTTTAATGCAACTTTGGCCGAGACTAATCTAGCACAAAGCCCGATGTTAAGTATCTTAGAGGAAGATGGAGAGAAGTTTCTGCATCCCAGGCTTTTCAGATTACGTCTGTTGGCCGTGGCGTCCCTGAGTAGGGGTCCTGTACGCTCCAATAAAAGTAGAGGAGAATTAGGTGACTGAGCCTTTAATACAGTGGGTCTTTGTAATCATATCAGGAGGAGATGAGGTTCGGGGGTGAGCAGATTTAGGTGGGGAATCCTTGGTGTGACCTTTTTTTTTGTTGTTGCATTCTTTAACGGTAGCACATTAATTCAGAACCAGGGTGAGAAAAGTGAAAAGGTGAATAAAGGAAGTTATATTCTACTCATCATCATCATGTGCAACTCCATCGTTCACGTGACAAGTTCAAGTTCATGTTTGTAGCCGCTCTGTCTGTGACCGGTCAACAAGTTAAGAGCGTCTGTGGCCACCCCGGAGTACGGGCGGGGTAGCACATAGCCTTTGACCTCTGTTAGGGTTGCTATGGGAAAGAGGCCGGCCGGCTCAGTAATGTACGACTGAAAAGGCCGAACTGTCAGGGCTGTCCAGCAGACGTCAACCCCCCACCACACACACACACACACACAGATGGCACGGGCCAGCTTGGGAAAGTTAGCTGCGCTTTATGTTCATCAGACGCCGTTGTAATTCATCCAACCTTCGGAGTTACACAGTCCACACCTCCTCCTCAGTGCACTCACCACTTCTGTCTCATTTTCAGCCTCATCCCACACATCTGAATGCCCATTGTGCGTGTGTGTGTGTGTGTGTGTGGTATTATAAGACAACATTGCTTTAGTGTGGTGAAACAGAAAAGAACATAACTTCTTAGGAAGCTTTGCAAACAAAAGGCTTTGTCCAGTTTCCTCTTCTTCTACAAATCAAGTCTCAAGTCTTTTCAAACAGAAGTCAGAAGAACTAAAGAACATTTAACTCAAAAGTTAAGCCTGAAAATCACTTTATGGGAGCACTAAAATATTAAATAAACATTGTCTTTAGTCTCAATTAAATGGCAAAACAAACAAAGTCGTAACTTCTCAGGAGCAGCAAAAAACTAGCTGTTTATATGATTAGTATTGGATAATGCTGGAAGATATAAAGATCTTGAATTTAGCTCCATGCGACTTTTTTTTAGACTATTTTCATTTTCTGTTGTTTGGATAAATGATCTGAAAGACACAGACAAAATAACCTGTCAGCCATATAATCCTGTGCCTGCTCATTTTGAAAATGGTCAGATGTTTGAGTGACTGCGTGTCAGAGCGGGCATGCAAATCCACTGATTGTAATATGTGCATGTTTCCATGCCCCTCTGTAAATGTGTGAAAAGTGTGGCCTCATTTAAGGTTGCATTCATTCAGGGGAGGGGTCCCGCGAATAAAGGAGCGTGTATTTGCATACGCTGCATGCCGTCTGCAGAGAGGGAGCAGTCAAAAAAAAGATATCAGAGGTGGACAAAGAGAACGAGGACAAATCCTTCATTGTGAGGTTGGTGGGAGAAAAGGCTCGTCTGAATTGGGGAGTGGGTGAAAATTGACAGAGAAAGAGTTTGGGCCGGTTCCCCGTGGGGATAAAAGCCTCAAGATCCCTCCATGCATACAGCCTGAAAATGGGAGAGAAGAACAACACGCAGCGCACAGGGGCCTATTTTTACAGGGCATGAAAAGGAAGTTTGTTTTTCTTAAACAGTGGCTGCGATTTCTCGTGCACAAAACTACAAAAAAATCATGCACAACTGCAAATTCACTGCTGTCAAAACACTCATCAATATTAGGTTTAACCAAAGAACTTTGTGCTGCAGAATTTTCATCGCATTTTATAACTTGGTTCCTAAAACGTATCTCCATAGACTCACTTTTATATGACATTACTTTTATGAAGGGAGCTCATTTACTCTTTTTATGTTCTTTTACCCTGTGGTCCTCTGGTTTTTGTTTTAATCTCTTTTACGGCAACTGTTTGCTGTTTTTATTGACTGTTCAGCACTTCGCAGACTCTATAAACAGAGCTTTTAATTATTACTAAGTTCTCGACAAAATGAATGTACGTTCACTATCTAATTCTTTAGAGAAACTTTCTTTCTTTTCTTTTCTTTCTTCTGCCCAAAAAATGTGAAATATTTTTGCTGTCCATGCTCAATGGAGGAGTTGATGGAGCCAAGTTCGATTCTCATGCTAATGATTCCCTGCATCGTCTCTCCTCAGGACGGGACCTGTGAGGCTCTGCTCTCTGCAGGAAACTGCTCTGGCACCAGGAGACTGTGGAGCAAAAGCAACATAATGTCATCATCAGATTTTGTTTCACCAGAGCAGGAACTCAGCGAGATTAACTGCCAACTAAACACCGCGAGAAGAAGAAGAAGAAAAAGAAGAAGAAGAAGAAGAGGAAGAGGAAGAGGAGGAGGAGTCATGTGTAGTAACAAAAGATTTGCTGTGTAAATCTGAAATATATCTCAAGATGACTGCCAACCTTAGAAATAATACAAAGTTTATGTTAAAATGCTGCACTCATGAATAATTGTATATAGTTATTACACAATTATACAATAAAAAAAAACTGCAAATAAAAAAGCCTTAATTGTTTTCGCTTA